GTCATACAAAATGGTCGACCATTGTTTACATTCGCAATGAGCTAGAATTTCAGAGTAACAGAACTCTGTAATGTAATTTTAAGAGGATTAAATGTTAATGAAGTTGTTTATTCCTTCTTTTTTTTCAAGTCAGTAAATTTTTATATGAAAAACACCTTGTATAAAAAATATGTACACCGGTATCGTGGAGACCCGGGCTATGTAACATCCGAGTACCAGAGCTCCAGATAGCGTGCGTATAAGCGTAAAATACGCATAGAAAATCTAAAATACGCATCACTTTCAAAATTCGTGCGTCACAGTTACGCACAACAAAATGAAAATACGCTCGTATGTCAAAATTTATGCGTAAAAGAATAGAAGTGCTGTGTAAACATTTGATATGTAGAAAGAAAATGTTTTGAGCATAAAAATACAATATATTTCCATTTTTGCATGATTGAAAACTAAAAATTCTGTTGTCAACAACGCATATTAAAAACGAAAGTAGCAGGAAATACAGAAGGGAGGTAACTCCCGTAGAGAAATTATTGATGAAATTTGTGCCAGATAATCATCGTAGGAGTTAACACAGTATTAAGTTTGTTTAGGCATCTATTGACAAACTTATGCCTCAATATAAACAAAAATATATTTTAATTTCTTTAACTTTTGTTGTTGGGACAAAATAACATGTTTTTCACCTGCAGTTTTGTACTCAATATTTTCGTACCCAGTCTACAGTTACGGACAATTTTCTCTCAGACCAATACTTTTTTTAAGAAAAGATAAAAAAAAATCTTGATTATGTTTCTTTAATTCTAGTTTCAACTATAATTGTTCAAACTGGAGTACATGATAAGGTACATGCCAACAAAAATAAAGAAAGAAAAATATTGACTCCTAGAAAATAAAATAACTTGAGGGCTTCCACTAGTGGAAGTTTGGGAGTCATTTACTCCTTCATTTGGCCTGTGACTTCCGAAAATCAATACTTTCCATCTTTACCTATATAATGTGACTTCCAATATCAGAGATTTTGAAGTCTTTGACTTCCAAATTTTGAAAATGGAAGCCCTGATAATTTTAAATTGCTGTGTATCCTAAACTTGAGTTCCAGTATACTCTGGAAGTCTAACTTTACATGTCATGTTTTGTATTGTTTCACATTAAAGCAGTATTTAATTTGTAAAGGTTTTTCTAAAAAAAGAAAATAAACAAACAAACAAACACAACAATAAGTTTAATTTGTTTATAAAAAATGCAAAATGCTTTTTTGACAGATTTTACCCCTTAAGTTTTTCAGAATTTGCATTTTACCCCTCACTCTAAATTTTGAGGGGTAAAAACCCCTTGGCCAAAAAAATTATCTGGAGCTCTGGAGTACGAAAAATTATGGGTATGTTCGTTCTGTGTCAAAATTTTTCACCGGGTGACAATATCGTGGAAATTTCGCATGGAATCAATGCAATATATATTTTTCTATCAAAACTGACTATGAACAGATCCTTATTTACACGTAAATTACCACAGTAAAGCTCGAAAATCAGAAATCACCCAGGTCCGAAAGATGGCACCGTCATGACATGTACATTGTAGCCTGGTATTTACGCTTGAAATACATCAACAAAGAGATCAAACGGGTTGAACACACATGCAAACAACTGGATTTTACATACATTTTAATAGTTTTATGCTCCACGAGTCGAACTTATGTGCCTGTATTCTAAGAAACTAAGAAAAATTCTACATGTAGATAAGTTTTTAGAAGGTGATTAATACTGGAAGTATTCTCCGGCTTCTGTTTCACATAAATTGACATAAAGCTGCACACTTTTGGCAGGACACAGTATTATAGCTGGTGGTGTTGTACACCGTCACAGTATTATAGCTAGTGGTGTTGTACACTGTCACAGTATTATAGCTGGTGGTGTTGTACACAGTATTATAGCAGGTAGTGTTGTACACAGTATTATAGCTGGTAGTGTTGTACACAGTATTATAGCTGTCAGTGTTGTACACAGTATTACAGCTGGTGGTGTTGTACACAGTATTATAGCTGGTAGTGTTGTACACAGTATTGTAGCTGGTAGTGTTGTACACAGTATTATAGCTGGTAGTGTTGTACACAGTATTATAGCTGGTAGTGTTGTACACAGTATTATGACTGGTAGTATTGTACACAGTATTGTAGCTGGTAGTGTTGTACACAGTATTGTAGCTGTAGTGTTGTACACAGTATTATGACTGGTAGTGTTGTACACAGTATTATAGCTGGTAGTGTTGTACACAGTATTATAGCTGGTAGTGTTGTACACAGTATTATAGCTGGTGGTGTTGTACACAGTATTATAGCTGGTAGTATTGTACACAGTATTATAGCTGGTAGTATTGTACACAGTATTGTAGCTGGTAGTGTTGTACACAGTATTGTAGCTGGTAGTGTTGTACACAGTATTATAGAGGTGTCATCGATAAGGATTTTTGTATCGATATATCGGTAATGAATTATCGGCGATACAGCGATATATCGATTGCCAGGCTAAATTTTAGCTTTCAAGTCTTTTTAAATGTTTCCTAAGGACACTGACAAAGCAGTTATATATAGATAAATGCAAAAAAGATAAACTATGAAAACTGAACAATTTGTTTCTTTTTTATACAGCTAAAAATGAAAACTAATGACTAGTAACTATAAAGATTAAAGCCTTTTCCATTTTACTTTTGTTGTTGTTGTTGCTATTACGTAGTTATTGATCATGCTAAATCCCATCCTTGCCGCTCTAATAAAGCCGGGTTTAATTGGCAAATTGTAGTGTTTAGAACCTGAATAATTATTAAATTTTAACATTTGTAATCATAATTTTTACAAAGAAACACTCTGACTGACTATTTTTTCTTGGCATTTTCCCTTTTTAAAATCTGAATTGAGGGGTCTTGACATCCACTAAGCAGACGTGCAAGATTACAACGAAATTAGGCAGCATTCGTTAAAAACACTGGGAGGTAACTTTGGCATTGATTTCCGTTTTCATTTAAAAAAAAAATGTTTCTGGCATCCATAACTTTACATGTCGCTTTTATTTTGACGTTTTGCGACAGTAAACAGGTCTGTCAGTTCTATAAAACCTGTTCGCTGAAGTCTCTTTAGCTAAAAATATATGTGCATTCGATATCCGATATTTAAAAAATGGAATCGATATCGAATCGGATAACAAAGATCGTTGATACACCGATATCGATTGAATCGATGACACCCCTACAGTATTATGACTGGTAGTGTTGTACACAGTATTATAGCTGGTAGTGTTGTACACAGTATTATAGCTGGTAGTGTTGTACACAGTATTATAGCTGGTGGTGTTGTACACAGTATTATAGCTGGTAGTATTGTACACAGTATTATAGCTGGTAGTATTGTACACAGTATTGTAGCTGGTAGTGTTGTACACAGTATTATAGCTGGTAGTGTTGTACACAGTATTATAGCTGGTAGTGTTGTACACAGTATTGTAGCTGGTAGTGTTGTACACAGTATTGTAGCTGGTAGTGTTGTACACAGTATTAAGCTGGTAGTGTTGTACACAGTATTATAGCTGGTAGTGTTGTACACAGTATTGTAGCTGGTAGTGTTGTACACAGTATTGTAGCTGGTAGTGTTGTACACAGTATTATGACTGGTAGTGTTGTACACAGTATTATAGCTGGTAGTGTTGTACACAGTATTATAGCTGGTAGTGTTTGTACACAGTATTATAGCTGGTGGTGTTGTACACAGTATTATAGCTGGTAGTATTGTACACAGTATTATAGCTGGTAGTATTGTACACAGTATTGTAGCTGGTAGTGTTGTACACAGTATTGTAGCTGGTAGTGTTGTACACAGTATTATAGCTGGTAGTGTTGTACACAGTATTGTAGCTGGTAGTGTTGTACACAGTATTGTAGCTGGTAGTGTTGTACACAGTATTGTAGCTGGTAGTGTTGTACACAGTATTATAGCTGGTAGTATTGTACACAGTATTGTAGCTGGTAGTGTTGTTCACAGTATTATAGCTGGTAGTGTTGTACACAGTATTACAGCTGGTAGTGTTGTACACAGTATTATAGCTGGTAGTGTTGTACACAGTATTGTAGCTGGTAGTGTTGTACACAGTATTGTAGCTGGTAGTATTGTACACAGTATTATAGCTGGTAGTGTTGTACACAGTATTGTAGCTGGTAGTGTTGTACACAGTATTGTAGCTGGTAGTGTTGTTCACAGTATTATAGCTGGTAGTGTTGTACACAGTATTACAGCTGGTAGTGTTGTTCACAGTATTATAGCTGGCAGTGTTGTACACAGTATTAAAGCTGGTAGTGTTGTACACAGTATTTAAGCTGGTAGTGTTGTTCACAGTATTATAGCTGGTAGTGTTGTACACAGTTGTATAGTTTTGTAGTTAAATCTCCGGATCACAGCAGTCAGAGCCACATTAAATTACATGTAATCAGAGCACACTGTTCTGGATTAGAGAGTTAATTATTATATAACATAAAAAACAGACTATTGGGGACTTAAAAAAATATTTAGTTTGGAAAGGATTCTGGATTATGGAGTGTTGGATTATGGAGTGTTTGCTGTATTTCCTCTTGTGTGTGGGAGTTTCAAACTATTTTGTCGCAGTTAATGGAAGGGGTCCTTCTTATAAATTTTAGGGGGGAAAAACACGGTATTTTTGCAAAATAGAAAGGAAAGACTAAATGTGAATTGAATTTTAGGGGGTAATTGCATAATTTTTAAAAGATTCTTCCTGAATGGAAGCAGCTCTTACACAGCCCCTACTAGAAGGAAAAAAGGTCTGGAGTTTATATCTTTGTAGTTTTTACTAGATACTTTATACCATCACAATATCAATCCTATAACAGATGTTTTAATGTTAATTGGCATCCTTTTATTTGTCATTCTTGTATGGAGATGTGAAGCTCAGTTAACAAAAAACTTCCAGTAAAACTATGTTTTAACATTTTGTCTTGAAATAACTTTGATGAATAACTTGTAGAGTCCAGAGCATGATGATGAAGAGATGGGAGATGATGCTGTACAGATGGAATGTCTGGAAACATTTGCTACAAAAGATTTTATAATGGAACCTGGTGTGTTTTCAATGCTCAAACAGTAAGTAACTTACCAAATCAAAGGAATAAAAAAAATTGGATAGAAATTTTTTTCAAATGTTTATATTTGAAACACTTTATTAATGATTTGCTCTTCATTCATTCATGAGTATTTACTGTAAGAAAGACAATACATAGATATTCTTCATCTATTCTTTTACATTATACATAATATGATTTTTCATCCAGTTCATTGAAATTGCTGTCTTTCTGTATTAATTTTTATTAATTTTATGATATACTTGTATATTGAGGCAATGTTACAATTGCTATGTATTCATTTAGATTTATTATCATTATTTTGGCTGACTAGTACATTATGTAAATATAAATGATATTCTGATGATAATCTGATGATAATTTCTAGGTTTCTACAAGCAGGTGGATCACCTGAGCGTGTTGTAGAGTTGCTGTCAGACAATTATCATGGTGTAGCACAGACGGTTAATTTATTAGCTGAATGGATGATACAGGTTGGTGTGGACATAAATGAGGTACAGGAGATGGTAGAAAGTCATCTTAAAGAAGTTATTGTGCGGACGTTTGATCCTAAGAAAGCAGATTCTATTTTCTCTGATGAGGGAGAGGTAATTATGATATAAGTTCAGCAATATAGGAAGATATTCTATTGATTCTATCGATTTATTTTAAAAACATTCATCAAGTTATTTTCTTCATTTGAACATAATCTGTTATGTTTTTTCTTGTTCGAAATATTACAACCAGTCTCTGAATTTAATCTTTACATTTCATTCTGTATAGTATATTCTACAAAAAGGAGTTAAAAAGCATTTTTTTGTATGTTTTTAGTTTTGAGAAATCCAAGACTTTGATTTCTGTTCATCTACTGTTTTCATTCTTGGTTAATGTTGCTTTGATATTTCATACCGATATAAGATTAGGCCAATCTATATACATGTGATTTTGTTATAGACTCCAAGTTGGTTAGCAGAGATGATAGAGTTTCCTACATGGCGACAGTTGTTCTACAGGTTAGCCGAGGAGTATCCAGACTGCCTTATGTTAAACTTTACCATTAAGGTACCTTTTACCTGTTTTTACCTCATTTATAAAAAATGGCTGCTGTCCAATATAAAAGAAATATTATCATAAACTAAGGTCATATGTTATGAGATGTACGTGACAAGAAAGTGCTCTGCTTCTATAGCTTTTCTGATTGATTCCATATACCTTAAAATTGCAAATTCAACTTGATTGTGCTGTACATGCTTTTCTGAAAAGATATTGTTGGCAATGGTATCATGTTTATTATTCCATGTCATGACGATGATCAATGTTTTTTGTTTTTTTTTGTCATGTTTCACACGATGCTAGTATATTATATAACATGTTTATAGTGGTTCAATGATATTTTTGAACAATGCTTGAACAATGCAATCATACAATAATTTTGATATAATAATGATCATGATGCTTCATATTATTGTGCTGTCTGCTACAGTTTTCATGTTTTCCTACTAAATGATTTTTGTCTAGTCATGGTCATTGAAAATAAAGGTGTTTTGGCCTATTAGTTACTTTTATGTCTCCTGCCACAGATACAACATGCTACAAAATAGTTGTGCCATATAGGGAATAAAATTCCAATCACCCCTCAATACATGTGCTGAATTGGCTATCATCATTCAAAGCATGTGATCATCAAGTAGTTAATATGTGTTCCTATAATTTACTTTTGTTTTCTCATTAAAGGTATGCTCTGTCATTTGCTAAAAGTATATCAAAATGGTTGCCTGATAGTCTGTAAACCCATATCTTTTATAAGGGCATATTATTTCAGTTTATTTGGCTTAAGTATAAGTTCATATAAAAATGCATCAACCAATGTTTATCACTTACTTAACTTACTTTCCTAGTGTTTTTCAGTATACATGTATATTTACAGCTTATATCAGATGCTGGGTTCCAGGGAGAGATAACATCAGTTTCCACAGCCTGCCACCAGATTGAGGTCTTCTCAAGAGTTCTTCGTACCTCAATATCTTCTTTCCTAGAAGGTGGTGTCGAAATAATGGAGAAAAATTTACCTGAATTTACTGTAAGTATTCTGAATAAAGTTCTTATTTTCTTTAATGTGTTATATTTATGTGTAGATACCCGAAATTGCTTTACAATATAATATATAATGTGTTAATTGTCCAAGAAACTAAAAATGTATATTAAGATTGTGGTATTTTAATATTGATGTGCTCTATTGTGAGAGTAAGCAATTATGATGGATGTATTTTTGTGACAAATTGCCACTCCTGTTTAGAATCATGAAATATAGTTGTAATATATAGAGTTTATGTTACAGAAAATGGTATGTCACGGTGAACATACATACCTATATAGTCAGGTGATGATGACAATATTAGCACAGGAACAAAAGGGAGGATCAAATATCAGGAGGATTTGTCAGGAGCTACAGAAATGTGCCAATAATAGGTAGATTATGGTTATTCTGAATATCTAGATATATATATATATATATACATGTAATAAATTTTATTGAATGTTTCTTGATGAATATAGATAGATTACAAACAAAATAGACAAGTCTGACAACTTTTAAGAAATGGACTAGGACCCAATCTTGGGAATAGAATTTTACTGAAATGCACTTGCATGGCTTGTTAAACTATCAAACACTGCGACTGGTGAATTTTTTTACATATCTTCAACCCCATTAATGTAGGTCACTGACCAAGACCCAAACTCTTGTATAGATTTTTACTGAAGTATTCCACTTTGTAAATAAGGCAAATTTCTGTATAGCTTGTTTTACTGCCAAACATTGTATATACATGTAGTATAGTACATTGTATATATCTAAGCCAACTGTCCATGTGACAGCTTTTGGTTCCTAAATCTTCTTGCACCACTGAAGGAAGAGAGTTTTGTATTTTCTTCAGATCTGCCAGACCAGTAAAGTAGTGAGTGCAGCTAAACTGATACAAAATAGAGAAATATATTGATCCAATGTTTTAACTTGGAATCACTTTTAATTTTCTTGATAAAAATAAAGAAAAAAATACTTGTTATTTGGTGATATTGAACTTATTGTATTTGCTCTCGTCTTATATATATATTTTCTGATATTAGAGGATTGGATGTGACACCTATCACACTTGCATTGAGTGGCGCAGCAGCATACCCCAGAGCATGTCAGGCACTTTCCTCAATGTTGTCAAAGAAGGCCCTGAATCCTGCAGATATAACTATAGTAAGTTTGTAGATTAAAAAATCTGCAAGTTGATTTATAGTTTCTTGTGATGCAGGGAATGTTAGTTTACCATAATGATTTGAATGTCACCCTATATGTTGTAATGCACTTTTAGCTTTATTTCTGAAATTACTTGGTGCAAATGTGTAGCATGATGAGACTTTGTGTTCAAAGTCAATGTCACATTTACAGGTCAAAAGTCAGCAGTCAGAAAATCTTGTCTGATCCACAACTCTGTCATGCATTAAGGGATTTTAGAGTTATGTGGCAAAGCTGTTAAGCATAATAAGTCTGTGTTATCATAGCAATTATGATAATCAATGCCTTGTTACATATATCAGTAAGAATTTCATAGATTTCAATAAATTTATGGGAGTAAATTATTCTACTCAAGGATACCCATAACATAGTGTTTCTACATTATCAAAGTTGCATGATAGCAATAACTGTATGATGTGATGTAAACAAATAAAAAAAAGCATATATATAAGAATATAGAGGATATTGAATGAGTGTAGGTTTAATACTTAATTTATTGAACGAGTTGAATAAAATCATATTATGCGAGCCTCTGGCGAACCTACACGAATATAATATTCTATTTATCACATATATAAAATAAGAACGGTAAATTGTTAAAAAGAGTCATTTTTCTTTGACGCGCCTATAGTGTAACGCTAACATTGGCGCGCTTTAACGCTATGTTTATAGCGCAAATGACGTGACGTCAAAGTGTTATTACACTAGTGTAATATTGTCTAGTGTAATATTGTTTTTAGCTCGACTATTCGCAGAATAATCGAGCTAATGCAGTCACCCATTTGTCGGCGTTGGCGTCCCTGTGGTTAAGTTTTTGTATGTAAGCTGGTATCTCCATAACTACTGAAGGGAATGGATTGAAACTTCACACACTTGTTCTCTGTGATTATCTAAGATGATTGGCACAAGTCCCATAACTCTGATTTGCTTTTTTACATAATTATGCCCCTTTTTTGACTTAGAAATTCTTGGTTAAGTTTTTGTATGTAAGCTGGTATCTACATAACTACTGAAGGGAATGGATTGAAACTTCACACACTTGTTCTCTGTGATTATCTAAGATGATTGGCACAAGTCCCATAACTCTGATTTGTTTTTTTACATAATTATGCCCCTTTTTCGACTTAGAAATTCTTGGTTAAGTTTTTGTATGTAAGCTGGTATCTCCATAACTACTGAAGGGAATGGATTGAAACTTCACACACTTGTTCTCTGTGATTATCTCAGATGATTGGCACAAGTCCCATAACTCTGATTTGTTTTTTTACATAATTATGCCCCTTTTTCGACTTAGAAATTCTTGGTTAAGTTTTTGCGTGTAAGCTGGTATCTCCATTACCACTGAAGGGAATGGATTGAAACTTCACACTCTTGTTGTCTGTGATTATTTAAGATGATTGGCACAAGTCCCATAACTCTGATTTACTTTTTCGCATAATTATGCCCCTTTTTCGATTTATAAATTCTTGGTTAAGTTTTTGTGTGTAAGCTTGTATCTCCATAACTACTGAAGGGAATGTATTGAAACTTGAAGGGATTGTACCCTTCGGACAATTTTATGTATTCATATAGGTAAGCATTATTATACTCAATGAAACACCCTTGTGACAAATTTTCGAATAGTCGAGCGTTACTGTCCTCCGACAGTTCATGTTATTAAATGGCTTTATTACCTTCCTGTGCCGCAGTTTATGTGATAAACATGTTTATTTCAGTTATATAAGATGTACTCTGACAACCAGTATCCTCCACCTCCAGTTGATCTTATCCGAGTCCCAGCTTTTCTAGGTATATTCTCAATGTTCTATTATAATGTATCTTATCCAAGTCCCAGCTTTTCTAGGTATATTCTCAATGTTCTATTATAATGTATCTTATCCAAGTCCCAGCTTTTCTAGGTATATTCTCAATGTTCTATTATAATGTATCTTATCCAAGTCCCAGCTTTTCTAGGTATATTCTCAATGTTCTATTATAATGTATCTTATCCAAGTCCCAGCTTTTCTAGGTATATTCTCAATGTTCTATTATAATGTATCTTATCCAAGTCCCAGCTTTTCTAGGTATATTCTCAATGTTCTATTTTAATGTATCTTATCCAAGTCCAGCTTTTTCTAGGTATATTCTCAATGTTCTATTATAATGTATTTATCCAAGTCCCAGCTTTTCTAGGTATATTCTCAATGTTCTATTATCATGTATCTTATCCAAGTCCCAGCTTTTCTAGGTATATTCTCAATGTTCTATTATAATGTATCTTATCCAAGTCCCAGCTTTTCTAGGTATATTCTCAATGTTTCTATTATAATGTATCTTATCCAAGTTGAAGCTTTTCTAGGTATATTCTCAATGTTCTAATTATAATGTATCTTATCCAAGTCCAGCTTTTTCTAGGTATATTCTCAATGTTCTATTATAATGTATCTTATCCAAGTCCCAGCTTTTCTAGTAAGGTATATTCTCAATGGTTCTCTATTATAATGTATCTTATCCAAGTCCCAGCTTTTCTAGGTATATTCTCAATGTTCTATTATAATGTATCTTATCCAAGTCCCAGCTTTTCTAGGTATATTCTCAATGTTCTATTATAATGTATCTTATCCAAGTCCCAGCTTTTCTAGGTATATTCTCAATGTTCTATTATAATGTATCTTATCCAAGTCCCAGCTTTTCTAGGTATATTCTCAATGTTCTATTATTAACCAGGTTTTCAATTTTGAAAATCCTGGTTATTAGATTGGGGTATGGCGGGCGGATGGGCGGCTGGGCGGATGGGCGGGCGTCAAACGAAATTGTGTCCGCTCTGTAACTCTTCAACCCTTTGAAGAATTTTGATGAAACTTCAGACAAATGTTTACCACATCAAGATGACGTGCAGAACGCATGTTCCGCATGGCTGGCTCCAAGGTCAAGGTCACAGTGACATTAACATTGAAAATCCTGTCCGCTCTGTAACTCTTCAACCCTTTGAAGAATTTTGATGAAACTTCAGACAAATGTTTACCACATCAAGATGACGTGCAGAACGCATGTTCCGCATGGCTGGCTCCAGGTCAAGGTCACAGTGACATTAACATTGAAAATCTGTCCGCTCTGTAACTCTTCAACCCTTTGAAGAATTTTGATGAAACTTCAGACAAATGTTTACCACATCAAGATGACGTGCAGAACGCATGTTCCGCATGGCTGGCTCCAAGGTCAAGGTCACAGTGACATTAACATTGAAAATCCTGTCCGCTCTGTAACTCTTCAACCCTTGAAGAATTTCGATGAAACTTCAGACAAATGTTTACCACATCAAGATGACGTGCAGAACGCATGTTCCGCATGGCTGGCTTCCAAGGTCAAGGTCACAGTGACATTAACAATTGGGAAAATCCTGTCCGCTCTGTAACTCTTCAACCCTTTGAAGAATTTTGATGAAACTTCAGACAAATGTTTACCACATCAAGATGACGTGCAGAACGCATGTTCCGCATGGCTGGCTCCAAGGTCAAGGTCACAGTGACATTAACATTGAAAAATCCTGTCCGCTCTGTAACTCTTCAAAACCTTTGAAGAATTTTGATGAAACTTCAGACAAATGTTTACCACATCAAGATGACGTGCAGAACGCATGTTCCGCATGGCTGGCTCCAAGGTCAAGGTCACAGTGACATTAACATTGAAAATCCTGTCCGCTCTGTAACTCTTCAACCCTTTGAAGAATTTTGATGAAACTTCAGACAAATGTTTACCACATCAAGATGACGTGCAGAACGCATGTTCCGCATGGCTGGCTCCAAGGTCAAGGTCACAGTGACATTAACATTGAAAATCCTGTTTACATGATTTTAAATTGATTGGCAGTCAAAGGTCATATCATCTTTGGAGGTAATTTAAAAAAGATATGATATATTATTTCATGTCTACTTTGTAACTTGTTTTTCATTATACAGAATTATCAATATAATTATAGTGAACAAAATTCTTCTGTGCTGAACTCGTCCTACATTTCTCAACGGATTTTGTTCAAACTTTCACAGAAGCTTTGTCATCAAGCACCCTGGCACATATTGTCGGGGGTTTTGTGATTGGATAGTTTTTTTACCTAATTATGGCCCTTTGTTTTTTCCTTATACATAATATTATAGTGAACACTTCTTCAGTGGCAATTCCTCCTACATTATTCATGTTTTACATTGCACATAGTTACATTGTTTGTTGCTTGTATTTGTATTTCAAATACAACATATTTATCTACAATGGTGATAATTGAAAACCTGGTTTCATGGCATTGCCATGTTTCTTGTAATGTATCTTATCCAAGTTGAAGCTTTTCTAGGTATATTCTCAATGTTCTATTATAATGTATCTTATCCAAGTCCCAGCTTTTCTAGGTATATTCTCAATGTTCTATTATAATGTATCTTATCCAAGTCCCAGCTTTTCTAGGTATATTCTCAATGTTCTATTATAATGTATCTTATCCAAGTCCCAGCTTTTCTAGGTATATTCTCAATGTTCTATTATAATGTATCTTATCCAAGTCCCAGCTTTTCTAGGTATATTCTCAATGTTCTATTATAATGTATCTTATCCAAGTCCCAGCTTTTCTAGGTATATTCTCAATGTTCTATTATAATGTATCTTATCCAAGTCCCAGCTTTTCTAGGTATATTCTCAATGTTCTATTATAATGTATCTTATCCAAGTTGAAGCTTTTCTAGGTATATTCATAAATCTTATGCTCTTTAAATTTATATATATGACATTTTAGTGTTCTTTGTAATAATTTGATGTATAGGTAACTTCTGTAAAGCTATAAGACTTTGATATTATGTTTTAATGTTCTGTAAACCATTGTTATTAAAACTATACTATTAATCAACAATTCTAATAATCTTGTTCAACTTCATTCATTAGAGATTGGTTTTAAAGAGTGTTTTGATGTGGTTTTCTGTTTGTCAGATCTGTTGATAGAATCTCTGTTCAAGATGAATCAAAGATTGAATCAGGAACATAAGAACAAGTATATATACTTACTGTCCTATGCTGCTAGTGTTACAGAAGCTTATAAAAAGGTAATATAACCCATCTTTACATTCACAGTGATGAAATTTTCCATGCTTATTATTTTCATTTATTATATACCTATAAATTTTCTTCCTAAAATACACGCAAATCTTAAGTGCAAATACGGAGAGAAATTTCCGTATTATGTTAGTGACAAACACGGTACCATATATAATAGTGTCAGACTATTTTTGAAGTTGGTTCCAATCTTAGCTTTGTATAACATTCCATTTGGAAATGGGAACCAAAATTATTAAAGGTTTTGCAAGAATTACGTATTCATCTGTCAGTCATGAATTTATTTCTTGACAACTACATTTCATTTTCTGAATAAAACGAAAAGGTATATAATAAAAGGAAAAATATATTATAGTAGCATTCTGAGGCTATGTATTTTTCTACTCGCAACATTGGAGAATTTATATCTCGCGAGACCTTTGGTCTCGCGAGATATCAATTTTCTACCACTGCTCGTAGCAAAATACAAAGTCTCAGAAAGCTACTACAACATAATATTCTGTATGTATTATCATAATGCCCAACTTTATTTTTTTTTTATAAAAAAGGAAGTTTTCTCCTTGCAGTCGAACTTCTGTCTTCTCAACATTTGAAGGTAATAAAAATCTCTCAGCATTGAAATTTATAAATACCCTCTAAACATGAAACTGTTATGAAGCCTGTCCTCAACATCGAAGTTTATGTAGATTTTCATTCTTTATCATTTATGAGATATGCTTTATGTGTATAAAAATCCTTATGATTATTTCCATTTATGAAGATATTTAATTTCTGCATTTACTTTATTTTGCTTCCTGTTTGTTGGTTCATCACTGAGGAACCAAAATGTTTATGTTAAGAGTTTTACAGTCACTAATAATTCATAGATTAATCTGGAATAAAATCTGGAAACTTCTTACTGGTTCATAGTGGAATTGTGTTGAAAATTGATGCAAAATGCTGAACAATTTTGAAACAGATTCTTCCTTAATTTTGTCTATTAATATTCTGTGTCTGTTTATAAAAATATTTGTGGTATCTAAATATTGTATTTACCATCTATTACTTATAGGGTGTGAGGAAGCATATTGAAAGGAAGGAGTTGAAACCTACAACACAGGCATTAGAGAAAGTACAAGCTTTGTGTGCATTAAATAAAAATGCTTCAGAACTTTTAGTAGATGTATCAACTCTCTTCCAATGTATAAAGTAGGTATCTAATAAATATAGTAAGGGAGTACAGGGAAAAAAATTTCAGGTTTAAAAACAAGCATGTCCTGTAATAATTTAAAAAATTGGCTATTGAATGGAAATTTCAAATTTTACAGTGGCACTTGTTTTCAGGGAGATTTAAGTTTGGTTCTATAATTATCCTTAACCATTGGTGATTCAATACTGACATTCATTAGGAATTTGTGTAGAAAAATAGGTACTTTGTACTGATGCAGACTCATAACCACTGGTGAAATGCTATGAAATATATAATTTACAAACAACAAAACTGATTACAAAAATGGCTGGATCATATTTAAGAACAAGATAAAAATTTGGATAATCTTCTATAAGCACATGATTACTGCTATAATTTTACTGAAAGTCATTATCAAGAATCCTGCTAGCACTAAAAATCAAATCTTTGTGTATAACATACTGAGAAATATAGAAATATATATGAGCCGCGTCACGACAAAACCAACATAATGCGTTTGCGACCAGCATGGATCCAGACCAGCCTGCGCATCCCCGCAGTCTGATCAGGATCCATGCTGTTCGCTATCAGTTTCTCTACTTGTAATAGAGTTGGTAAGCGAACAGCATGGATCCTGATCAGACTGCGCGAATGCGCAGGCTGGTCTGGATCCATGCTGGTCGCAAATGCATTATGTTGGTTTTGTCATGACGCGGCTCATATATTGATCCTCAACTTAACCTGTTTATTTTTGTTCAGGTTTCCAGTGATTGCAATAGGAGTGTTAGCATGGGTAGATGAGATTTTATCAGACAAGAGTTATTTCAAACTAAATACTGATCATACCCCCCTACACCTTGTGCTGGTAGATGAAATCGTCACCAATCATATATTGTTACATCAAAAAGCTTTAGATCTTCTCATCAGATTGTTTGAATCAAACTTTGATGAGCTTGATGTACTTGTACAAGTAAGTACTGTATAACAATTGGGTGTAAAATTTGTACTTGTACAAGTAAGTACTGTAAACAATTGGGTGTAAAATTTGTCTAAAATAAGATGCCCACATAGTAAGTAAGTTGAGACAGCTGACTTACATAACCCTTTGTCATGGTTTAGTTTCTTTTACAATATAGGGAGCACATTCTTCTAAGAAAATGAATATAATTATATTTGGTAGATTTTATTTTCTATGTTCCTTCTTTTGCCTGGAATATTGTCAGGAGAGCATGGGTGTCTAATGATTAATTTTGAACGTTCTGTGTGAACATAGTGGTGTAGCAAATAAAATTTCAATCAAATATTTTTGTTAATCATTTCAAGTAAAAGGTTATTGTATTGTTTATTGTATTGTTTTGTAATTTTGTTGAAGAAAATGACATCAGGTATTGATTAATTAATAAGCACTGTTAATACATTAGTACTTGTTAAAAATTCAGTTTGATGATATATGACTTACATTTTAGTTTTGGAAATCATGAATTCATGAAAATGAAAGTCCCAGTCTGTAATTCAAACATTAATATTGTATTGTTTCTGTTAATCAGCTTGAGTTGAAGAAAACAGTATTGGATCGTATGGTGCATGTATTTAGTCATGGCTGTGTTATACCAGTAGTTAACTATATAAGAGGATGTCATAACAAACAAGACACAGACATATCTCTCATCAGACATTTTGTCTCTGAGGTTTGTATAATTATGCTGTTTTACATTGAAGACAAAACCCCCACATACAAAAAACCCACACCTCAAAGGTCCACACATAGATTTTAAAGAGTGCATAAAACCCCAGATCCACTCTATAAAAGTAAAGTTTTGGGGTTTTATCCACTCTATAGAATTCATTTGTGGTGTTTTGTTCACTCTATACAATTTGAGGTTTTGTCCTACATTTGTTTTACATTTATGTAGAACAGGATACAGGAAATCTATATAATATGTGATATGTTAAAGTAAAAATGTTAAAAATTATAGTTAGTACTAGTGGCAAAATTACATGGCTTTAGAAAGGAACACGTCTTTTATGACTAGGAAGTTTTGTTAAAGGCATAAAGAAATAGAATTTTTGTTAGCTTGGAAATCGGCATCTATCTTGTTATTCCTAGTTATTGTTGAAATATCAAGTAAGCTGCTATGTACCAAGATCAACAACAACTGCAAAAGTTATTTATATCTTTAGTGTCAATAGTTCCATCCCTGGAAGAGCACATTGTACCATATGACCTATATATTGTGTGAATAGAAAATGATGTTTAGTTTATACAGAGGGTATTTTAGTTTGATTTAGTAAGAAGCTACATGCTTATAAACACAGTCCCAAATTTGTTCCTGTAACCAACCAGTGCTGAACAATGAGTGCAAAGTTTCTTTCTTAAGGATACAATTGCTTTCCCTTGACATGGTTTAAACCCACATAGCTAGAGATTCCGAGATTGCTAGTCTAGATTACTAAGCTAGAGATTCCGAGATTGCTAGTCTAGATTACTAAGCTAGAGATTCCGAGATTGCTAGTCTAGATTACTAAGCTAGAGATTCCATGATTGCTAGTCTAGATTACTAAGCTAGAGATTCCGAGATTGCTAGTCTAGATTACTAAGCTAGAGATTCCGAGATTGCTAGTCTAGATTACTAAGCTAGAGATTCTGAGATTGCTAGTCTAGATTACTAGACGTGTTAATCAGTTGGTCATGCTGCTACTCATTTAAAATGATGAAGAAAGTTTTTCCTCAGTTATACTGAGCATCAGCTGTGAGTAAATGCCTTGTCTTCACACATTGCTGTAAATAATTAAAAAAAAGGAATTGGTTAAGATTGGAATTTTTTTATTCAGTTTCAAGTTAAGAAAGATGTGTTGTGTTAATAAACTTGACTATTTGAAGAATATACTATAGACAACAGTTGCTTAATCTGAGAATAAATGCATGCATGTATTTAATTCTTTAGGAATAAAATTTGTAATTCTTTTATGTTTATCAAATGCTATTATCAAATGCTATCCTATTGTGCTATATGCACATGTTACAGGTATTAGATGTGATAGCTCCACCATATACACAAGATTTTGTGAATCTATTTTTACCACTGATAGAGAATGAAGGTATTACAGGAACCCTACGCTCAGAGGATGGTAATGATCCTGTCTCCGAATTTATATGTAAGTGCTAGTAACCTTCCTTATAATTGAAGGCTTAAGTTAATTTTAGTAAAAATTAATGAAAGAAAATTGAATTAGAAAAATTGATTTCTTGCCAAATCAATAATCCAACTGAAGGTTCAGATATCACCAGAGATAGAGCTTTGTTTTCTTTGATTTTATGGCGCACCAACACAAATCAGGTCATAAGGCGTGGAAACAGAAAAGATGATTTTGGCTAACCTTGTGTGTTGCAAGTAACACCTCACCTGCTGAAGCCAAGAGATGTATTAACTCCAGTAATTCAGACCCATTTAGTTCCCTCTAACAATCACACAGGGATAATGGGTAGCTGCAATTCTGATGCCTCAACCCTTAAAGGCAACCCCTTCTTTCATTTGAATTTCAGAATTTAAAATTTTTATTAGGACAGATAAATAATAAAATACTGTCGCTTTAAATTGGTTTTTTTTAGTAAAAGTGTATGATTTGGTAATAAGTTAATTTCCACTTCATTGTCAATGATTTTAAATTTTGTGGTGTATTTATAATTCTTCCATATTTAACAGATGTTACTTTTTTTCCCCCAGGTCATTGTAAGGCTAACTACAGTACCACCTGAAGTGTTCACCAACTTGTCTAGTAATGGCTAACTCTAGAATGAAGTCTTCAAATATAATAGAACAGTAACCTTGTAATGTGATGTTTACATTCTGTTGAAAATGATAATGGTGTTAATGGTATAAAAAACTGTTACACGGAAATATCAACAGTTTTTCATCAGCGGACAGCAAAAGAAAAACTGTTTCAAGGAAACATCAACTGGCACATCAGTGAACAGCAAAAAAAAAATAATGGAGATTTCATGGCATTATTTTGATGGATGTTTACATATTGTGCTGGACACAGTAGAGACTATTTTGTGTTTATAGATACAGATCTCTCTGAGTGTTAACATATATTAGGCTACAAGAGATAAGTATTACTGATTGGTCTGTATCACAGCCTCAAATCATCAACTTTGAGTCTATCAGGGGCCACAATCATGTTTTCTCAACAGTTTCAGGATGTACACTTTATTAATTGAGCTAGTAGCTTTTGTTACACTTCCTGTTTCACATTTATTAATATTTTAATAATTTAGATCTTTAATTGCATGAAAAGGAACACAAGAGGTGAATGGTCCGGCAACTTGCAATTGCATAGATTAATGATATACCATGCATTTGCTGACCTACCCTTATGCCAGAAAACTATTTTAAGTCCAGCAGTGTTTTCTTTTCTTTTCAAAGCAAAAAAGGTGGTTAAATTTGAAAAAGATTTTATTTTTAATGCATTGTCATAGAACATGATTTTATGGAATTCTATATTGTGGAACGAAACACTGAAGATAGGGAACCAATGTTTGGTTAATTGACTGTTACTTAACAACTCATAAAACAGTTAAATCTTAGTTCTCACCTGATGCAAACAGAAATATAGAACCAGCTTTATAGTAAGATAATGGCTGTGGTATAGAGTTAATATTGTTATACTTATGTACAACAATCTGGAACAAAAGTGTTGTCTTTTTCAGAAACAGGAAAAATGGGAGATATTTTCTTAAATATTTACTTTGCAACACGCTCGATTCTACATTTGTACTATGATAAAGTAAATGTTGAACTAAATAATAAAACAGAATACTGAATGAAAGAACTTTGTTTTATTTTATTTTTTAATTATTTTTTTTCAACAAATAAAATACATGTATAAGACATTTCAAATAGCAATTAAAATTAATACAAGAGGGCCATGATGGCCCTAGATCGCTCACCTGATTTATCAAACTCATCCAAACAATTACCTAGACAAGCATTCTGACCAAGTCTCATGACAGGTGAGTCAAAAATGTGACCACTACAGTGTTAACAAGGATTATCCATATTTGAGCAGTGCGACCTAGTTTTTACCCAGGTGACACATATTCAAACTTGACCTAGAAATCATCAAAACAAACTTTTAGACCAATTTCAAGGATACTTGGATCAAACAGTAGCAACTAGAGTGTTAACAAGATTTTTCTATTTTTAGCTCCGGTGACCTAGTTCCACATGCGATTTCAAACTCCAAGCAATTACCTATACAAGCATCCTGACCAAGTTTTGATGATAATTGAGTCGAAAATGTGACCACTAGAATGTTAACAAGGTTTTTCCATATTTGGGCGGTGTGACCTAGTTTTTTTCATCCAAGATGACCAATGTTCGAACTTGACTTAGAAATCATCAAAACAAACTTTCAGACCAATTAACAGAATATTTGGATCACAACAGTAGCCACTAGAGTGTTAACAAGATTTTTCTATTTTTAGCTCCGGTGACCTACTTTTTCATCCGAGATGACCCATGTTCAATTTCTTCCCAGCAATGACCTAGACAAGTTTCCTGACCAAGTTTGATGACAATTGAGTCAAAATTGTGACCACTAGAGTGTTAACAAGGTTTTTCTATTTTTAGCTCCTGTGACCTAGTTTTTTCATCCGAGATGACCCATGTTCGAACTCATCCGAGCTATCACCTAGACAAGCATCTTGATCAAGTTTGATGATGATTGATGCAAAAATGTGACCACTAGAGTGTTAACAAGGTTTTTCTATTTTTAGCTCCGGTGACCTACTTTTTCATCCAAGATGACCCATGTTCACACTCATCCGAGCTATCAACTAGATAAGCATCCTGACCAAGTTTGATGATGATTGATGCAAAAATGTGACCGCTAGAGTGTTAACAAGGTTTTTCTATTTTTAGCTCCGGTGACCTACTTTTTCATCCGAGATGATCCATGTTCGAACTCATCTGAGCTATCACCTAGACAAGCATCTTGACAAAGTTTTGATGATGATTGATGCAAAAATGTGACCGCTAGAGTGTTAACAAGGTTTTTCTATTTTTAGCTCTGGTGACCTACTTTTTCATCCGAGATGACCCATGTTCGAACTCATCCAAGCTATCAACTAGATAAGCATCCTGACCAAGTTTGATGATGATTGATGCAAAAATGTGACCGCTAGAGTGTTAACAAGGTTTTTCTATTTTTAGCTCCGGTGACCTACTTTTTCATCCGAGATGACCCATGTTCGAACTCATCCGAGCTATCACCTAGACAAGCATCTTGACCAAGTTTGATGATGATTGATGCAAAAATGTGACTGCTAGAGTGTTAACAATGTTTTTCTATTTTTAGCTCCGGTGACCTACTTTTTCATCCGAGATGACCCATGTTCGAACTCATCCGAGCTATCACCTAGACAAACATCCTGACCAAGTTTGATGATGATTGAGGCAAAAATGTGACCTCTAGAGTGTTAACAAGGTTTTTCTATTTTTAGCTCTTGTAACCTAGTTTCTCATCCGAGATGACCCATGTTCGAACTCATCCGAGCTATCAACTAGATAAGCATCCTGACCAAGTTTGATGATGATTGAGGCAAAAATGTGACCGCTAGAGTGTTAACAACTAAATGTGAACGGACGACGGACGGACGGACCGACGACGGACAATCATCGATCCTAAAAGCTCACCCTGAGCATGCTCAGGTGAGCTAAAAAAAACCAAAACTAATGTTTATCTTTCAAATGCTAGAATATTACACCCAACTGAAATGTATTTACAGAAAAGACAGTTTGTCTTTTTAGCAGAGTAACGCAACATCTCATTAATAATCAATATACGAGCCGCGTCACGACAAAACCAACATAGTGCGTTTGCTACCAGCATGGATCCAGACCAGCCTGCCCAGTCTGATCAGGATCATGCTGTTCCCTATCAGTTTCTCTACTTGTAATAGGGTTTGGTCGCAAACGCACTATGTTGGTTTTGTTATGACGCAGCTCAAATATACTTTTTATGAGTAAAATTTCTCGCCCATGCAGATGAGAATTTACCATATTTAAAATAAACAAAACAGAAAAAAAACAACACCTAACAAACTTTAACATAAGTATAAAAACATCATACACTTTGTAAGGACATTGGCCTACCAATATCCATCTGTCGGACTTGCTTAGGAATCTTTCACTCTCCACAGAATTAAACTGCCGTTGGGTAAACATTTACTCCTGGGTGAAATGATGCTATGAAGTGTAAATCTCACGCACACAAGAAAATCAGCAGTGACCTTGACACAACTCAAACCTATGAACTGAAATGATCCCAACTGCAATTATGTTCAATTATATCTAGTTATCAATAAGGAAAATGATGCACTATGCACTTGTAAAATAATTTATGCTTTAAATAAATGTATATATACACAACCATTTTATATGGTAACAGTAATAAGCTATAATTACGGTAAGTTTGAGGGATGCACATTTTGTGAATTACTTGTATAGCAAAACAGTACAAATCACAAATTCTTTAATGCCAGGGCAGCACATACCTTTGTAAATAACATTATTTTGACATTTTTTGCTGTGGACTTGTCGAGAATTTGTAGCTTTAGGGACATAAAGATAAGAATTTAAATTGAGCAGCTTAAAGACTGCACAGATAATCAGACTGGCCTAAATCTTCTTGTAGCCAAACTTACACCATTAAGTTTAAGAGGGTAGAATTGAGAGAAAAATGAGAAATGCCAGATGATAATAAACAGCAATGCATCTGTAATTATGAAACATTACAAATGTTAAAGTTATAAAAGTGAGGCAATTCATAATAAAAGTGAAAACAGTTAGTTAGTTTCAAGTTAGTTATATATTAAGTTGTTATTTTCTTTAAGAATAAACATTATAATGTGAAGGGGGTAATAAAAACTTTCATGTTGACAAAAATTAAAACAAAAAGTTAGAATATATAAAAAAACTTATCTTTTCCCTATTTACTTTTACAATTCTTAATTTGACATTTTCAACAGTGCCATGAAGCACAACTTTATCTTCTCACTACCATGATTTGAGTCTGACAGCGTGTTACAACCATGGTTGCCTAATTTCACTTGAATGATTTTAGAAATAATGGCAATAAGTATGTACAAATTTCTCTGACTCCTGTCTTTTTATAATACACATGATGATAACCTGTTAAGTCCATTTTAATGTTTAAAAAAATTGTTTGAAATATCAGTAAAATATCACTATATCTCATACTTTATATCATTCATTGTGGAATTGTATTTCATTATATAGCATAAAATCCAGTCTTATATTTCTAATATGAAATTAACTGTCAAACAAAGTTAAATATTGTGCAAGACAAGAATTACAAAACTTTAAAATATTGTCTTAAAGGGACTCCACAGTGGTATTTTGACATGACTGGAAATAATATTTCAAGTTTAATATTCCATTTTAATGTATGTCTACACTGATAAATTATGTGCAAAAATTCAGATAATTCGATCATTTGATTTTTTCCCCAAATTGAACAAACAGATTGAATTTGACTAAAAATAGCTTTAATAGTTCTAAGTGCCCCAGCTGATCTATGTCTTATGTTTTATGCTTTATGGACCTCAGTGGAGTTCCTGCAAGAAAATCAATAAAAACTCAAATGAAACAAGTATTCTTTACATGTTACATACATATTTTACATAAACAGATAATACATAATAATAATACATAATATCATAGATATTAGTTTATGTTTTTATCAACATAAATTATTAAGACTATAAACTCAAGGATCACATTTCTTCAATTATTTCATGGTAAATTATGAAAACAAACTAAAGTACATTTTTAGGTAAAAGTCTGTCTCAACAAGTTTTATTTAAACATATCAACTGTTTCAACAGTTTATTTATATAAACCCCAAATGGCCATATTCATACTTTGGAGAGTATATAATCATGACTGGCATAAAAACAAAATATCAGAAATGTGCCATCAACATTTCCTATCCTAGAATTGACAGGCTCAACAATTTACAAACCTGCAGTTGACCAGCAATTAATAGCCATAATATTCCATAGCTTCAAGACTTCATACATACATTTATCTTTTAGGCCAATAACATGTGGAAAAATCTTCCTTAAAGTAGAAAACATCAACAGGTCACTTTGACCTTTTTTAAAAATTACATTAGAGATCACTGGTCATTTATGTCTATTTTGGCTTCAAATCTACAGACTTTAATACCTTTATCATGTGTGTAAGTAACAGACTGTTAATTGCTCTCTCTAACTTTTAATCCCATTTAAGATGCTGAATTTTTATATATGAGCCGTGTCACGACAAAACCAACAGTGCAGTTGCGACCAGCATGGATCCAGACCAGACTGCATCCGCGCAGTCTGATCAGGATCAATGCTGTTCGCTTACAAAGTCTATAACAAATAGAGAAACTGATAGCAAACGGCTGGCTGGTCTAATTAAGTTTCCCATTCTATTTGAAAATGCTTTCAGAAAAATAAATCAATAATTTCCATTCTTTACCAAAATAGAATCGAATTATTTTTGATAAAGAAAAAAACCCATTTCATTGTAAGTGAATTTCAATCATTCATAGCATAACTCTTTCAAGTTTAGCAAAGTTGAGCAAAATAACTTGGTATTAATTCACTTTAACCCATAGAAAGAAAAAAAACAGCATAAAATGAAATAAAACTGTGCATAGATCTACAACGGAAACAAGGATGCAACAAAAAAAAACAAGAGGGCCATGATGGCCCTGAGGTCGCTCACCTGTATATAGCCCCCCCCCCCCCCCCCCCCCCAATTCTTATCCAAGGGCTTTTATTTGTTTATTTGAACAAACTTGGTAGATACCCATAAGAAGATGTTTCATGCTAAACATCTAAGTTCTAGCTCATTGGGTTTTTTAAAAGAAGATTTTTAAAGTTTTTACTATACACATATAGTTAAAAACAATGACACCCCTGGGGCAGGGCCAGTTTTGACCCCCGGGCTTTTATTTGAACAAACTTTGTAGATATTTACTTAAAGATGTTTTATGCTTAATATCTAAACTCTAGCTATTTGGGTTTTTTCAAAGAAGATTTTTAAGTTTCTGCTATACACATATAAGGAAAATCAATGACCCCCGGGGCGGGCCAGTTTTGACCCCAGGGCTTTTATTTGAACATATTTGGTAGACACCCATTAGAACATGTTTCATGCTAAATATCTTAGCTCTAGCTCTTTGGGTTCTCTAAAAGAAGATTTTTTTAAGTTTTTACTATATGCATATAGGGAAAATCAATGACCCCCTGGGGCCGGGCCAATTTTGACCAAAGGGCTTTTATTTCAACAAACTTGATAGACATTCACTAGAAGATGTTTCATGCCAAATATCTAAGCTCTAGCTCTTAAGGTTCTTTAAAAGGAGATTTTTTAAGTTTTTACTAAATGCATATAGGGAAAATCAATGACCCCCTGAAGCGGGGCCAATTTTGACCCCAGGGTTTTTATTTGAACAAACTTGGTAGACATTCACTAGAAGATGTTTCATGCCAAATATCTTAGCTCTAGCTCTTACAGTTCTTTAAAAGAAGATTTTTAAGTTTTTACTATATGCATATAGGGAAAATCAATGACCCCCGGGACGGGCCAATTTTGACCCCAGGGCTTTTATTTGAACAAACTTGGTAGACACTCACTAGAAGATGTTTCATGCCAAATATCTTAGCTCTAGCTCTTACAGTTCTTTAAAAGAAGATTTTTTAAGTTTTTTACTATATGCATATAGGGAAATCAATGACCCCCCTGGGGCGGGGCCAATTTTGACCCAGGGTTTTTAATTGAACAAACTTGGTAGACATTCACTAGAAGATGTTTCATGCCAAATATCTAAGCTCTAGCTCTTACAGTTCTTTAAAAGAAGATTTTTTAAGTTTTTACTATATGCATATAGGGAAAATCAATGACCCCCGGGGCGGGGCCAATTTTGACCCCAGGGCTTTTATTTGAACAAACTTGGTAGACACTCACTAGAAGATGTTTCATGCCAAATATCTTACCTCTAGCTCTTTGGGTTCTTTAAAAGAAGATTTTTTAAGTTTTTACTATATGCATATAGGGAAAATCAATGACCCCCTGGGGCGGGGCCAATTTTGACCCCAGGGCTTTTATTTGAACAAACTTGGTAGACACTCATTAGAAGATGTTTCATGCCAAATATCTTAGCTCTAGCTCTTAGGGTTGTTTAAAAGAAGATATTTAAAGATTTTTCTTTCGGTTGCCATGGCAACCAGAGTTCTGTATGGAATTAAATTCTTTGAACAATTTTTAAAGGTGACCACCAAAGGAACATTCCTGTGAAGTTTGGATGAAATTGGCTCAGTGGTTTATGAGGAGATGTCATTTAAAGCAAAAGTTTACGGACGGACGGACGACGGACGGACGGACGGACGCCGGACGAAAAGCGATCACAAAAGCTCACCCTGTCACTTTGTGACAGGTGAGCTAAAAAAAAAGGTCTCTTGTAAATGTTTAAATGTTAATCATAACAGTCATAAACCATTGTTATATTTCAATAAATTATATCAAAGTTGTGTTGAACTGAAACATCAGTTCTCTGTGCACAACACTACATATAAATATATTATATTTGCTATACTGGCATGCGAGCAGTTCCCGTACAAAAATCGTAGTTACTTAAACATTATTTTTTATTACGCTCACTCACCAAAATTTGAATGTTACACATCACTATTCGGCTCGTCACACAAATCATGGAAATTCCATCATGTTCTAAACATAGAATAACCCTTAGTTATGAGGCCTCATATGGGGTACCGAAATTATCCATTATTTTGTATGAAGAGAAGTAGTTCCCGTACATAAAATTTAACCCATTATAATTATACAATTTTGTTATATCGGACCTATTTTTCAATTATAATTGTTGAACAGACCATTTTCTAAGAGATAAATAGATGTAATTCAGGAAATAGAGCGTAGACTAAACGCTGGTATCTATTACCCGGTACCGTTACCCCAACGCATTCTCATACAATGGCATGCTTGTATGCATGATATTTTACGCATCAAAGCCATAAAATTATTTAATATAGTAATATTGATCAAAATTCTGATAATTAAACAAGTTTTCATCACTTTGCCTTCTTATCTGTAAACAGGTGGTATTAGTGGAAAACCCTTTAACAGGCCTCACGTGTAGGTATTTTAGCGCATGCACGCAAGGACTGAATCCCCCAGAGAAAACAAGGTCACGTTTTGACAACGCACAGGTGAAAGTGATTTAAAATGAGACTTTTATACGTACTGCCGAACTGACACTTAGATTTTGTCTCTTTTATGCATCTGCTTGATTTGAAATGAATTTTTGAAGATTGCAAGTAAAAATCAAGCGTTTAAATGAAAAATACGGGTACTGCTTCTGTACGGGAACTGCTCGCATGCCAGTAGTATCAGTATTCAGGAATCTTTCAGTGAGGCCTGTAGTGCTGCTCTCAGCATTGCATCATCGTCTTGTCCATAGTCCTTTAATAAATATATTAATTATAATTAAATTATATTCTCATAAAACATGACTCTTCTTCCTTAACAGACTAAAAATAATGACTCTCAGATGGTCACCTGTCTTCCTCATGAAATACATGTAATTTAAAAAACTTAAAAAGATTTTTTTTTGCAACAATTAACAATTCTCCAACATCATAAAAAATACAACTTTAATAATAGTTTTCTCTTGTTTTCTTTGATAAGGGGTTTCATTGTCTTCCGCTTGAACAGGTTTGGTTGTTTTTTAGCCAAAACCAGGATAGAAAATTCAATAACCAGTAACCAGGATTAGCATTAGACTTATATCAAAAGAAGTTTACGATTGATTTTAGATATTATCTTTTCTTAAATGGGTGTAATTGGGTTTATTGTCAGATGTTTCCAGTATGCCAGTCATATACTGTGAAGCTGTTTCTAGATTCTGTATCAGTACAGATCTGTTTGTCCTCAACTGACTGCCAACATAATCTGCCACATGATTGAATCATCTGACATATCACAGGAAACATTGGCCACTACACTTATAACAAACACCCTTATGAAAACAAGATAAAAATCTCTGACAATAAAACAGTTTTAAGGAAAGAAAGATAGTTTCCATGTTTACTTACCACATAAGTGTCATATTCAAAATTATGCCTCATGTTCAGATGTTGTATAAAATTCATACTAGTCTGACCTTTATTTCCCCATGGCATAGAAGCACAAACTGGACAAACCTAAAGAGGTATAAAAAACACAACTGAAACCCAAAGGAAAGAATATAACTCGCCAGTTATGAATATCATCCCAGAGTCATTAGTTTTGATGCCCTAAAACTGATAAATGTGTGCATTATTTGATTTCGAACTTGATTATTAAAAAATATAAAGTAACTATGGCACGTTGTCTATTGCTGCAAATTTTTTATGTTTGTTACTTGTTCAAAATCACTAAAAAAATTTATAGTTATTATATTAAATGCATTTAATCATGAGAATTAATTTACTCACAATGATATTGATATGCTTTATTACATCATTATCATTATGATGGTCACATAATTACCATATTGATAAATTGGTAGTAGTATTTGTTCAATCAATAATGACAAAATAATGGTTTATATTATACAAGATATGTTTGTAAAACATGTATGCCCCCTATCAGCAGCCAATTATTCATGTGATAAGGTAATTATGCATGACTTTTGACCCAGTGATCAAACAATTAATAAAGGTTATCAAGTATCTACTGGTCATGACCTTGACCTTTGACCCCTTGACCCAAAACTCAATAGGGGTCATCTGCTGGTCACCACCAATCATCATACAAAGTTTGAAGTTCCTAGGCCTAAGCGTTTTTAATTAATTGATCGGAAACCGTTTTTACCTACAAGGTCAATGTTACATGACCTTTGACCCCTTGACCCTAAAAACAATAGGTCATCTGCTGGTCATGACCAATCACCATACCAAGTTTGAAGTTCCTAGGCCTAAGGGTTCTTAAGTTATTGATCGGAAAGCATTTTTACCTACAAGGTCAATGTGACCTTTCCCTTTGACCCCTTAACCCCAAAATCAGTAGGGGTCATCTGCTGGTCATGACCAATCACCATACCAAGTTTGAAGTTCCTAGGCCTAAGGGTTCTTTAGTTATTGATCGGAAACTGCTTTTACCTAAGAGGTCAATGTGACCTTGACCTTTGACCCCTTGACCCCAAAATCAATAGGGGTCATCTACTGATCATGACCAATCACCATACCAAGTTTGAAGTTCCTGAGGCCTAAGGGTTCTTTAGTTATTGATCCGAAACTGTTTTTACCTAAGAGGTCAATGTGACCTTGACCTTTGACCCCTTGACCCCAAAATCAATAGGGGTCATCTACTGATCATGACCAATCACCATATCAAGTTTGTAGTCCCTAGGCCTAAGGGTTCTTTCGTTATTGATCGGAAACCGTTTTTACCTACAAGGTCAATGTGACCTTGACCTTTGACCCCTTAACTCCAAAATCAATAGGGGTCATCTACTGATCATGACCAATCACCATATCAAGTTTGAAGTCCCTAGGCCTAAGGGTTCTTTCGTTATTGATCGGAAACCGTTTTAACCTACAAGGTCAATGTGACCTTGACCTTTGACCACTTAACCCCAAAATCAATAGGGTCATCTGCTGGTCATAACCAATCACCATACCAAGTTTGAAGTTCCTAGGCCTAAGGGTTCTTTTGTTATTGATCGGAAACCGTTTTTACCCAAGAGGTCAATGTGACCTTGACCTTTGACCCCTTGACCCCAAAATCGTTAGGGGTCATCTACTGATCATGACCAATCACCATACCAAGTTTGAAGTTCCTAGGCCTTAAGGTTCTTTACTTATTGATCGGAAACCGTTTTTGCTTACAAGGTCAATGTGACCTTGACCTTTGACCCCAAAATCAATAGGGGTCATCTACTGATCATGACAAATCACCATACCAAGTTTGAAGTTCCTAGGCCTTAAGGTTCTTTAGTTATTGATCGGAAACCGTTTTTGCTTACAAGGTCAATGTGACCTTGACCTTTGACCCCTTGACCCCAAAATCAATAGGGGTCATCTACTGATCATGACAAATCACCATACCAAGTTTGAAGTTCCTAGGCCTTAAGGTTCTTTAGTTATTGATCGGAAACCGTTTTTGCTTACAAGGTCAATGTGACCTTGACCTTTGACCCCTTGACCCCAAAATCAATAGGGGTCATCTACTTGTCATGACCAATCACCATACCAAGTTTGAAGTTCCTAGGCCTAAGGGTTCTTTAGTTATCACTCGGAAACCATTTGGTCTACGGACCGACGGACCGACGGACCGACAAGTGCAAAGCAATATACCCCCTTTTTTTCAAAAGGGGGCATAATAATTATAAGATACAATATCCAGCATAACTGATTTTCGCAGCATGTAGGCTTTTCGCAATTATGGACACATTTTTCCCCTCAAACTTTTTTAATGATGCGACAAAATATTCACTAACTAGTATTATAGTAATTATAGTATTATAAAATATGATTAACACTTAAAAGTAGTTGTGAAAGTTGGATTTTTATTTAAAATTTATATGAAATTATAATCTTTCAGATATAAGTGTATCTAACTATGTACAGATGTATTTGCAAATAAAGTTTATATTACCACAGCACCAGGACTTGAACTATGTCTTTCGTTACAATGTTTTACAAGACCGGTTGTATCTAAATTCTTCACATTACAGTATGGGCACTTGAATGTGGACCTGTTTGGTAAATTCCTGAAATAAAATTAATTATTATGGTACATTATTTCAAAAGCTTATTCGCTTCAGCAAAGAAAAAAATAAATGAATGTAATTTCTGACAGACAAAACAAATCTATCAATAATTATCATATGATAAAATGTGCATACCTACTTTTTTCTTTTTGTGTTAAAGTTTGTGTTTCTATGTGGGTTTTACAAGAAAATTTTAAGACACTGGTTCTAAACTTCAAAAACACAGATGTTCAGCATTCTCAATTTCTTTTTCATTTCTTTTTTAAATCTTATATAGTTCAGATTCAAAATAATAAGTTCAATAAAAAAATATTTTAGATAAAAAATTATAAATGTGTCCACAGACATTTATTCACCAACTTTATTTGCTGTAAAAGCGTGATATGTACATACAAATGCATATCTTAAACTAGAAATGTGTCATCATGCCACGGATGCCCCCGCATGCAGCCAAAATTTCAGATGGTGCATTAATTTTCTTTTTTCATTTTAAGTTCAAAGCCCTTAAAACTTTTCAATGTTAACACAAACCATTTCCATACAACGTTCAAGGCACTGAAATTATTCAGTCTTAACCTTTAGAAAAAGCATATTGCATATTTGTAGCCAAAATAATGGCTAAAAGAATGAGTGCTGAAACTGAAAGTTCAAAATTTTTCCAACATTCAGGAAAGATAAGTTTGTCTAAAATCATTGAACCATGACCAAATTCAAACTTAAACTGCTTATTCCTAAGATGTATCTATATTATTTTCAAAGTGAAAGGGACATAACTCTGCCAAAAAATCATCGAACCATGACCAAATTCCAACTTGACCTGCCCATTCCTTTGACATATCCATATGTCAAATTAAAATTGAATATGTAACACTGTTAGGTAGATAATGAACAGAAACTGTAAATTTTCATATTATTTTTCAAAGTGAAAGGGGCATAACTCTGCCAAAAATCATTGAACCATGACCAAATTTGAACTTGACCTGGGCATTCCAAAAACATATCCATATGTCAAATTTGAGTTGAATGTGTTGTACCATTGGGGAGAAAATAAACGGAAACTGAAAATTTCATATTACTTTCAAAGTGAAAGGGCATAACTCTGCAAAAATCATTGAACCATGACCAAATTTGAACTTGACCTGCGCATTCCATTGACGCATCCATATGTCACGTTTGAGTTGAATGTGTTGTACCTTGAGGGAGATAATGAACGGAAACTGAAAATTTCATATTATTTTCAAAGTAAAAGGGGCATAACTCTGCCAAAAATCATCGAACCACGACCAAATTTGAACTTGACCTGCGCATTCCTTTGACGCATCAATATGTCAGGTTTGAGTTGAATGTGTTGTACCTTGAGGGAGATAATGAACGGAAACTGAAAATTTAATATTATTTTCAAAGTGAAAGGGGCATAACTCTGCCAAAAATCATCGAACCATGACCAAATTCGAAACTTGACCTGTATTTTCTCATGACATATCCATATGTCAAGTTTGAGTTGATTGTGTTGTACCGTTGGGGAGATAATGAATGGAAACTGAAAATTTCATATTATTTTCAAAGTAAAAGGGGCATAACTCTGCCAAAAATCATCGAACCATAACCAAATTCGAACTTGACCTGTATTTTCTCATAACATATCCATATGTCAAGTTTGAGTTGAATGTGTCCAACCATTCTTGAGATAATGAACGGAAACTGAAATTTCATATTATTTTCAAAGTAAAAGGGGCATAACTCTGCCAAAAATCATCGAACCATGACCAAATTCGAACTTGACCTGTAATTTCTTATGACATATCCATATGTCAAATTTGAGTTGAATGTGCCCAACCGTTCTTAAGATAATGAACGGAAACTGATGATGACGGAATGACAGAATGACGGAAGGACGGAAGGACGGAATGACGGAACAGGGTAACACTATATGCCCCGGCCATTACATGGCGGGGGCATAAAAAGTCAAGTAATATAAATAATTACTAATAACTTCCACAAACCTATTACTGATGAAAGTCTTGTTTTTGATATCACACTGTGACTTTAACATAATAATCTCAAAATCAATGTCCATAACATTTCTAGTCATTACCAACTTCCATAACATATCTCAATCTCCTACGCAGTGATCTCCCCTTATCAGTACAGAGAACTCTGCCATCACAAACATTGAAATATCAATATTTTGATATTATAATTATATTTTTTAGCTTTTTAATTTATTTTTCATTATTTTGTATACTTTTGATAATTTTTTGATAAAATATAACGGACGTAGGTACTAAAAGTTAAAAATAAAACAGAAGAGGAAAATGACGTTAGATTTTCTATGTAACGGTCAATATTTACATTTGAATTTCGACGTTACGTCCTGCGATTTTCATTATCATGTGACGTCGGTGAAGGCAATGATTACAATTCTGCCAAGGGAGGTAATCACTGTGAGAAGTTTGACCATATCTACGAGCTGTAGGGTGAAGCTTTCCCTAGAGCTTTCTCCAGTTATAAATTTGAGCAAGTAAAAGGTGACCCTGACCTGATGACCTCAAATTCAATAAGGGTCTTCTTCTAGACATGACTAATCTCCACAATAAAAATTTATCTGTAGGTTGACCAGACATGCTTTTTGTGGTAAAATCCATGGTGACCTTCACATTGATCTTTTTACCACAAAAAAGGGTTCATCTACTGGTCATGGCCAACCCAAACACTTATTCTTAAGACTGTATGTCAAGCATTCTCTAGTAATTAGTCAGACAATTAAGCTTTTAATGGTCAAGGCCATGGTCACCGACTTTTTTTTTTTAACATCAAAATCAATACAGGTCATCTAGTAGTCATAACCAACTTCTACACCATATCTTAGGACTGTCGGCCAAGTAACTTTTAGTTATAGGCTGAACAAAGAAGCAGCATGTACCAACTCTATCACATAATGCTTCCATTTGTTAGGTGGGGGGGGGGGCATACAAATATTTTACCTATCTAGTCAGCCCAAATTGACATGGGGGAAAACAAAACTACTTCTGCGGCTTAATTAGAATTTTCAAAAATGACTTAGACTTCTTTCACAGTACATGATTGAAAGCAGGGTTGTTTGTTCTTAAAAAAGGTAAAATAAAACTACAAATCTTTTTTCTCTATTTTTATTTTGTTTGTTATGAGTTTTATGTCATACAGACATCTTCCCAGCCTGGCTGATGAAAAAATAACCTATATCTGTTCTTGTTTCAAACCTTAGGGGGCACTAAGGTAAAACCATAGGTTTTTTTCTTTTGTATCTCACTTCCCTGCATCCTCAAATTAAATAAATTGACAGCTCATTGAGATTTCCTCTAATTAATCTCCTGTTATAACTGAAACATAATCTCAAGGTTTGATTTACTTACCTAGGTACAAGTTGAGATGTTTCTTTCACTGGTTTAAAGTAGGTTATACTCTTATCTATTCTATCACAGACTTCCAAATGTTGATTCATCTGGGATATAATGACCTGTAATTATAACACAATAATTTCCTTTACCTTATTAGTTAATTTATCAAATGAAACACTTTCATACTTAGTAAGACAGCAATACATGTAATTGAGACTGATTCTAGTAATACTTCAATGTACTGAGAGATACATACATGTATTTATATTATACCAAATATAAATTCATACTTAAATGTGAAGTGCTTGTCAATCTACAAAAAAGCCCTTAAAATGCTTTCAGGAAACAAAGTGTAATTTGTTAGTAACACTTTGTTTATTTGAAACTTTTATGTTTCTGAAACAACTCTCATTTTTATGTCCTTGTATAACATAATGCCACATTAAAAATGACAGGATTTCTGCCAATAAAAATAAAATAAAACAAGAGGGGCAAGATGGCCCTTGATTGCTCACCTGACCCATCAAACTCATTAGAGCAATTACTTAGACCAAGTTTGGTGACAATTGAGTCAAAAATGTGACCTCTAGAGTGTTCACAAAGTTTTTTCATATTTGGGCAGTGTGACCTAGTTTTTGACCCCAAGTGACCCATATTCAAACTTGACCTAGAAAGCATCAAAACAAACTTGCAGACCAATTTCCAGGATATTTGCATAACAACAGAAGCCACTGGAGAGTTAACAAGATTTTTCTATTTTTAGGTCCTGTGACCTAGTTTTTCATTCCCGATGACCCATCTTAAAACTTATTCGAGCAATTACCTAGACAAGCATCCTGACAAAGTTTGATGACCATTGGATCAAAAATGTGAGCACTAGAGTGCTAACAAGGTTTTTCCATATTTGGGCTGTATGACATAGTTTTTGACCCATATTCGAATTTAACCTAGAAATAATCACAACAAACTTTCAGAACAATTTCCAGGATATTTGGATCGAAACAGTAGCCATAAAAGTGTTACTAAGATTTTTCTATTTTTAACTCCTGTGACCTAGTTTTTCATCCGAGATGACCCATGTTCGAACTCAAGGGAGCAATTACCTAGACAAGCATCCTAACAAAGTTTGATGATGATTGAGGCGAAAATGTGACAACTAGAGTGTTAACGAACAAATGTAGACAGATAACAATCCTAAAAGCGCACCCTGAGCTAGCTCAGGTGAGCTAAAAAGTCGTACAAATGTGTCATTCGAACTTGTCTAGCACTTATGATAAGCTTGAGATATATTCACCGTGACATTTGACTGATAGACCAATTAGCCTATATTGTAAAATAATATAAAAATACAATGCCTTATATGACAGCGAAATTTGTTTTCCATAGGTTTACCTATAAATTATGTATGCGAAAGTTTCTGGATTAATTTGCTGGTTTTAAGCTAATATAAGCACAGAAGCATATTATTTACAGTTATGTTAAAAGTAATCCAAAAAGTCATTTAATCAATATTAGATTCTTTTAAACATTTGCTATTTTGTAAGGTCAGGATAATTATGTACAGTACTGTCGAAGTATGAACCAAAATTTTATTATTATCTTATCTTATCTGTTAGTTTGTAAGCTTGGAAATTCTTTGGTCAATATTCAAGACTTATTATTATGTCATGTATTTTTTAATGAAAAACTTTCATTTGAGCCGCGTCACGACAAAACCAACATAATGGGTTTGCAACAAGCATGGATCCAGACCAGCCTGTGCATCCGCGCAGTCTGATCAGGATCCATGCTGTTCGCTATCAGTTTCTCTACTTGTAATAGAGATGGTAAGCGAACAGCATGGATCCTGATCAGACTGCGCGGATGCGCAGGCTGGTCTGGATCCATGCTGGTCGCAAACCCTTTATGTTGGTTTTGTCATGACACGGCTCATTTGTCAGATAAACTCCCACACTACATACAATACTATTATCAGGGCTTTTGTTTGGCACGGGTATCCGGGTTTTGACTCGTGAAAATCAGGAAATGCACACATTTGTCATGTGATAAAATCTGCACAAGAGTTTCATGGGAATTTTCACCTATGCATTAATTATTACCTTCTGACAATCCACTCCTGGTTACCTATCACAGGGCTCACACTGGCTCAAATAAAATAATAGCCAATATTTTCAACTTAAAAAAATAATAGCCAAAAGTTCAGCGGACTATACACGAATTAGCGATTAACAACATAAGCAGTTGATTAAATAAACATTACATTTATATATTTATAAGGATTCTCAAATAAACTGACACATTTGTGTATATTGATAACTACCTTTTTTTAAATAGAACCACAACTTTAATTGTTATTATAGAACAGAATAAAAACGTTATAATTAGTATAATTACTGTGCAACAATAATATTACAGATTCATTATAACTTTACATAATGCTGTTATCAGACATTTTTTTGTTTGTTCTACTCAAATTTTGTCAGCTATAACCACTGTCAATTTCCACATTTCACACAGAACTGGAGTACTAAGATCTATAGGTCATATTAGCCTATAGAAATAACACAAGTTTGCAAACTCATTCACAGAATGCAGCCTTTTTTCTGAATAATTTACTGAAAAATATCATCATCACCAATGTAATACAAATTTTCTGCCATAGTAGTAAAGATTTTAAAACAGAACATAGCTTATTTCACCTTTAAATAAATATCAAAATTATCGGTGTCGCGAAAATATGTGACAATCGGATTTTTCCTGTTTTCTGAAGAAATATTCACAATTTTGGTTGTTGTGCAAATAGTTGTTTGGAAGTTTATACTTTTTAAATATTTTACCATTGTTTTCCACTGGCGATTTAGTTAAGTAGCTTAAAACAAAAAAATAACAAAATTTGCAATTCACGGTAAATTTTGGGTAAGTCAATTTCCAGTTTATCAATTTTAAAACGATTTTTGTGGCTAATTGACGGATATTTGATGGCTTTTATAAATGCTGGACAATATCTTTAAAGTACTTATACAATAATACATCTCGCATGTATTTTATCACCTCGGGCAATATAGTTAGCAGCACGTGACCGGTAAAAAGTTGACACTCAATTAAATGCACCCCGCTGGTGTTAATTGGGTCTACTGTATTCATTATCGATTTTTACACCTTATATAAACACTGTTGGAAGTAAAATATAATCGCCAGATTTTGTAGCCAAAATGCAAAAATAATCGCCAATCTTATAAAATAATCGCAAATGGCGACTATGGCGACCGACAGCGTGAGCCCTGCTATCATATCTACATATGTTTACTGTCAGGTGTCAATTACTGATTATATTTAAAGCAGCATTATATGAAGTTTATAATACCCCTTTGATTTACTTAAAGTTCCTGTATATTTGTTATTTTTTTTTTTCAGTAAATATTCCTAGTACAGTCATGATTTAATTTGGTATAATTATGATAGAGATAATTTTTATATTCTTAATCAGAAAAAAATTATTTTATTCTTTCTTTTTGCGGGGAGGAAGCTTATATATTATAGAAGGAATATTGTTAGGCATTTTTTTCCATGTTAAATATTATCAATTTAAACTTGAAAATCTACTCAAAATGACTTCCCAAACTGTTATTTTTGAAACATGAAAATGATTCATGTAGAAAAATAAAACAAGAAAAAACTGATTTGACTCATGAAAATTTTGGCCAGTCTGCCACGTGGACTTCTGACCCTACTGAGAGCTAGGGCTGTCATTGAATATCGCGATATCGATGTATCATTGATATTCATCATACGATACAATATCGATACACAAATTTTGAATATCGATACACTCTAAAATCTACTTCTTCTTGACTTGTGAAAATATCTCTCCATTTTGTCTAAATAAAGATGTTACTTCTTTTCATATTTCATGGCTGGCTTGAACTTAAAGTTCAATTTCCAGATGTCAGAGAGAAAAAAAAATAACAGAAATACTTTCTTTTGTTTATTTTATATGTGATGTCTAAAATAAGCCGATATAACACCATGATAATAGTCTATAACACATATTCAAATGTTTTTTACTGTACTTACTCTTTATTCGATATATTGATATAACGTTGATATTTGTCTTTTGATATATCGATACAAAAATTTCCATCAATGACAGTCCTACTGAGAGCCCTGCTTTTATCTTAAACAGGCTGGTGAAAATGCCCGATCGGGCTTATGCCATTAAAATCATATTTCTAGAAAAGAAATAAAGATATTTCTTTTAAACTTTGTTTGTTTATTGAAAATAATATTTGACCTCAACAGAAAGAAAAATATTTGGCTACTGTCACTTTTGTGAGATTTATTTCCCTTTTTTCATGTTTTTATAACACATAATTTTTGAAGTCCTTAAAAAGTATGTTACATATTCAAAGTGTAAAACAAATTAGGGTAAATAACTTCTTTATACTCTAATTCATTGTGCCAACACCTGCCAGCATACATTTCATTCAGTTTTCAGAGAAAACTTCAAAGTATAATGTTCAGTGTCAAAGAATTGTCAAAATATAACTGCCAGAAACAGAATATTTAATCCAAATATATAGGAAAAAGGTACTGGCGCAATAATCTAGAGCAAAATGAAGTTGTTTGACACATTTCTATTTAGAATTTTACATTACAATATAATTTTTATGAATTTCTAGAAAATGGGAAAAAGGGAAATAATTGTAAGAAAATAAAAGATAAACAAAATATTTTGATTTTGATTTGTATCATATATCAATGCTTAATAAACAAAACAAGTGAGAAAGAAACATATTAATATGTTTTCTAGAAATATGATATTTTATGTCGAAGCCCGATCGGGCATTTTCACCAGCCTGTTAAAAATAAAAATGAATGCAAGTTGCATTAATATTTTTTTATCTTTCTTATATCACTCATTTATAACACTCACCTGACTACCGCATCCAAAACAAGGCAGTTCTTTTCTTGCCATATCTTGTTTCAATGATTCTAGGAGCCTGACATGACTTGTTCTAAATTTTGCTCGACAGACAGGACATCTTGGATCCCGATCTTGCATGACATGTTGCACACATTCTTTACATACTCTACAGTAATAACATAATGGTTCTTTGACATCAGTATCACTATAACATTCATACTAAAAAACAGCACAAAACTAGACTTATATAGATCTATATGTGGACAAGCTAAATTGAAAACTTTAAAAGAGAAAACAATGGAAAAAAGATTCCAAGAAAAATGAATGCACAGTATGAACTTTTGCAAGAGACAAAAAGTATGTATCCGAGTTTTCTAAATATGTTACTAGTAATGTTAATTAAAGATTATTCTGAGACTTCTTAGTGATTGGAATATTCTAGTATCCGAATTATGCTTCGTCCGAAAATGTGCACTTGTACAAAAATTATGCAAAATCGAAAGTGAATCAATCGATTGATTTTATACATAAAATAAGAAAAACAATTGAGTAAATTACACTAAGGATCTATAAAACACTTACATGTGGTTATTTCCACAAGGAATCGATACTGGATCTTTGTAAATATCACGACAAATGGAGCAAGTAAAATTTTCAAGAGTCAAGTTATCTTCCGTCGCCATATTTGTTTACTTCCGGGAGGACGATCTTGCACTGTAGTGGATACTGTACCGTCAGTCGTCTTCTGACTATAAGTAAAATAATATTTAAACTTAAACTAGTTAATGATTGTATGTAGAAAGGTAATTTTATCTAAAGTATGATATATTCTCTTAAAAATATTTATAGAGCTGTTCATTTATCAAAAATGATATGTTTCTACACGGATTTATATTACATGTAATGTAAATCCGTGGTTTCTATCACAGCCTTTAATTACAATTAATTACTTAAGGTCCGTGCCGTGGTTTCTATGTATAAGTACAGTAGAGATTAATTTAAATAAGTAAGGAAAAATAAAATAAAATAGAACTTAATTATATTAGAAATATATTCCACTTGCTATTTTGGCATCGACCTTGTTTTTAAATTCAGCAAAAAGTCCTTCTAAAGTACAAATATTAAATAAGTTTATATTGAAGGTAATTTAAAAGTTCATTAAAAAAAGAAAAATATTAATAATGCAATTTGATTTTATAATGTTTTTTTTTTCCCTTTTCTATCCACATTACACAGACAGTTTCATATAAAACCAAAATATCGCTAGTTGTATATGCTTCTAAAAGGCGCCTAATTTGACACAAAATCTAGATAGCTTAAGTACATTTATATTTCAGAACATTCCCAAAATTAATTGTATATACATGTACAATAGATTCTGATGTTCGCGAAACTCGCATAACCTTGATTCCAACTTTGATTCCAACATATTATATCTACATAGTTTTTCATTATTTGACAAAAAATGCATGGGATATATTTATATTGGAATGTCAATCGTTACATTTAGGAATTGAGGAAATATATATATTTAGTATAATTAATTAATTAAGGTACTAGCATAATATACATCAGAGATATATCTATATGTCTTTGTTTACATGCATATAAATCGACAGATTTTAAAGGCACAAATTATACCTCAAAAATTTAAATTTTTCAATTCTTTAGAAATGTCAAAAATTTGTTTAATAATGGATTAAGAGCATTTAAGACGTTTAACAACTGAAGAAAGTATGGCTGAACCTGAAGTAATGTGTCGTAAAGGTAGCAAATTGTAAACAAATAGTATTTGACTTCCATACAAAATGCTACATTGTAATTCACTATAATTATGCCAAACGCCAACAGAACTAAAGTAGCACAAAAAAGGTTTATGCATATGGCAAACAAGTTTATTTCAGAAACAGTAATTACCAGATACCAAAAAATACGATTTTTTGACACATAAAATTTATAGCATTGCTGAGGTGCGTATAATGGGCCTTTAACTTGCTGCTCGATAGGTAGTTATTTGTCATGTATTGGATTCATTTTTATTTTCCATTCGTTTAGTTATTAGTTGGTGATATAAAATGTTTATTCCTATAGTCGTATATGTTTTGCGTTTATTCAACATTGAAAGACCCTGAAGCGGTCGTTAATAGAGGAGTTTCACTGTCAGTAGGCCTATTTTGTCTTGGTAGATATATCTAGCTGTATTTAATTTAGATCCAACTACTCACACACATTTAATTTCATTAAAGAAATATTTCTGGAAATGGTGATTCGTATTATAATTCAGATATGCACTGTTTTGAACTGAATTGGACAATGCCTTTTATGGGCATATTACATTGCATAATGACCAGTCCCTCTGACAAGTAAGGGGTAATTTCTAAAAATAGTTATTTCACGCAACATAAACAAAACTGAAAACATCGAGAAATAAACTTTTGTCGCTGCACGTTTTGGTATAATAAATTTAAAGGTACGGGTTTTTCTTGATTGTCTTCACAAAATCACTGTTTTTCAACATTAAAAATTTGATATTGTTTTTATCGAATAAAAACAAACAGACAAAATTAATAATTACCTTATCTAGGCAACTACGCTTTTGGAGTATTAACGCGTAGTTTATAATTGAAACGGTTTCTTTAGTATAGCCAATGAGCACAATGCTGACATTTCGGGATGCAAAAGACTATTTGATGAGTACTGTTGACAGGAAACCATCTGGCAAGATACCAGCAGGAGCACAGCAAAATGTATGGATGACACTGATGCCAGCTCCGAAGGACAACTATAATGAGGTTTACCCCTCTATAATTCTTGGAGACCGGTAATAAAATCTATCATTTGTTTATTGATTTTCTCTATAGAGTTGTTAGTTTAAAATTTTTATTTACTAACTTGACTTTTTGTAAATTAAAAAAAAATATCATAACTCACATTTTAATATTGACATGTCTGATTGTCTAATATTGCATTAAATGACTATATTTTGCACAAATGAGTGATACATTTGAGCCGCGTCACGACAAAATCAACATAATGGGTTTTCGACCAGCATGGATCCAGACCAGCCTGCGCATCCGCGCAGTCTGATCAGGATCCATGCTGTTCGCTATCAGTTTCTTTACTTGTTATAGAGTTGGTAAGCGAACAGCATGGATCCTGATCAGACTGCGCGGATGCGCAGGCTGGTCTGGATCCATGCTGGTCGCAAACCCATTATGTTGGTTTTGTCATGGCACGGCTCATTTAGTTGTTCTGCGTATTGATAATTGTGAGTGCGTATTGATAATTGTGAGTGCGTTTATTTACGTAACGAAATGACTGTTTTTATCTGATAATATCTAACGTAAAATATGATATGTCCGTTTCAGAGTCATCGCAAGCTCTCCAGAAAAACTAAACTCTCTTGGAGTGACACATGTGGTAAACTGTGCTTGTGGGGCGAAATTCAATAAGATAAACACAAGTGAAGAGTTTTTTAAGGAATCTGGGATCAAGTTTCACGGAATTGGCGCCACTGATATAATGACGTACAAAATGGCTCCACATTTCGAGGCAGCAGCTTGTTTTATAGATGATGCGTTGAACTCGGGTGGTACGTAAGACTTAACAAAATGCTCATTTAAAATGTTTAGCTTTATCAAACAATTTCAATTTGTCGTCATAGTATTAAGGAAACGAGGGGTCAGCTTTATCCCAAATGTTAACAATAATCTTGATGATCTTTACCAAGATTTTTCCAATAATTATAATCTATCAGTTAAAGCTGTATGGACTTTCGAATTCTGGTAAGGGAAACATTAACAAGGTTATCATGGGCATGTTTTTTATGTTAACAAACACTTACTTTCTTAAATAAATAAATTCAATATATCTAGAAATAAAAACAATCACCTTCACAATGTTATGAGAGTGGTATATTTATATTAATGTATAGGTTTTATAGCAATGCTTACTTTATTTCAGGTAAAGTGTATGTCCATTGTATGTCCGGAGTAAGTCGTTCGTCAGCCATTGTTCTTGCATTTCTTCTCCTAAAAAGAAATACCCACCTTATGGATGCATTGAAATCCCTCCGCGAAAAGCGGGAAATATTACCGAATGATGGATATTTGAATGAGCTGGTTGAACTCAACAATAAACTTTATGCACCAAAGACAGACTGATTGTCGTGTGATTCCCTTATAAAATTTATCTGAAATATGGATGTTGTTATAAAATCCGGATGTAGTGGGTGATAAACGGGTATTTAAAGTAATTTTATTTTTTATAATTATACTGTATAAGGATTTAACATCTCAAACGAAACTGAAGATAAACAATACACCTGGTCAAACATCGGATAAGACTAATTTGTTGATTGTTTCTGTAATTTGTTTGTGTTAAAATAAACTAATGAACAGATTTATTGTACAGGTTATATCATATGTAATCTTATACACGTTTTTCATACATGTACTTTTTTGAGAAATTTCTTATTCACATAAGTTTACATACTCTGCATATACATCTATACACAAATAATGTGAAGCAATATCATTTACATTAAAGAAAAAAAACCTATTCAGTTGTCGGTTGTTGTTGTTGTTTTTTTAAAAAAAAATAAAAATCACTTCCGTTGAAGAGACATGTACATTTTAATACCATCAAACAGTTTATTACTGTTTACATTTAGAGATAAAGGCAGCAAAATTTGCAACATGCATGGTATGGCAAGCAATATTTTCCCCAAGCTTACAGAAAAAAAGATAAATATTGTCAACACTAAAGTCATAAGATTTTGTTGTAGACATAACGTCCCACATTGACAGTACTAATACATATATGAGCCGTGTCACGACAAAACTAACGTTATGCGTTTGCGACCAGCATGGATCTAGACCAGCCTGCGCATCCGCGCAGTCTGATCAGGATCCATGCTGTTCGCTTACCAACCCTATAACAAGTTAAGAAACTGATAGCGAACAGCATGGATCCTGATCAGACTGCGCGGATGCGCAGGCTGGTCTGGATCCATGCTGATCGCAAACCCATTATGTTGGTTTTGTCATGACGCGGCTCATATATGTATTATCTTAAAGATACAGAAGATCCCCGTCACCGTATTATAATTTTGTTACAATCTCACATTATAGTGCCTAAAAGTGTACCAATTTAATGGTAAACCACGTGGGCTTATTGTCCAAATCTTGAAAATATTTAGCAAGCTAATGGCGTCTTATTATTCCCTCTACTTCGAAAAAAAGTTTCTTTTCCTGGCTCTAGCAAAATTTCAGAAATCGTAATTCAAAAATGATATTATATGTAAAGATTTTTGCTATGTTATCCTGTTTAAAGCAAAAACGTTTCGACTTACTCCTTAATTTATGCTCAATCATTAAAAAAAGGTCATTTAAAATGTATTTGTAGGAGCTAATCATATTGGAAATTTGAACGATTTAAACTGATATACCTACTGGCACCTTGTCTTTCTCGCATATTCTATAGAAAATGTGATGTTCCTTTCTCAATAGGTTTTAAAGATGAAATTAGTCATGATTCACTTCCTGACATGAGGTGAAAACATAACCATTCAATCTATGCTAAATGGCATCGTTCATGCAATATCCAACATTCTCGGTTACCTATGCGTACTCGTTACGTATACACTTCATTTGCGATGAAAGTAGTTTGGTGGGTTCCGACAATGTACATTTATACATGTAGCAATTACTTTCAATGACTATATATATCGATCATTTTAAACTTATTCAATACAGAAGTTTAAATATATGCGTCGTACATTATCATATATAATGTCTATAAATAGTTCATAAAGAACAATCGAACATTCCATATTCTATATTCTTATAGTCATTTCTATTTAAAGACGTTTAACCATGCATATACAGAATGCTTTAATAAATGATTTTATACCCATACTGATTGTAGACATAGGGAATTATAACAGGTATGTGCATTTATTTTTAAAACATATATAATTATATCGTGTATTGCTATTATTCATATTATATGTGGCAGGAAACAATATCAGGTGCCCAGCCGAGGCCTCATGTAATTGTTGCTTCAGGGACGTTGCATTATTCGTATGATGATGCTTATAAGCTAGTCCATGGAAGTCTATACCCTTTTTTACTCTGGTGTTTCAACATGTCCTTCACAATATTTTAATTATTTATTTTTATAAAAATCTGGAGAAAAATAATCACGCGAAAGCATTAATCACAACAAAATTATATGACAATTGCAGAGGCTGTATAATGAAAATACATTGTATGCTACCTAGCACCGGCTTGAGCGGCATTCATTTTTCAACACTTATAAGTGCTAGAATCAATGATCCCAAATGACCAGAAAAATATAACAACACTGAAGTGAAGTACGGGGCATTTTCTAAGTTTCTTTAAATACATGTATACAATGTATATATGTTACTTGTCATACATTGTGTAAATAATGTATTTAAATAACTCTCTAAATTCTACATAAAGTACATGTGTAAATTGAGCGAGTCGTTAAAACACCGTAAACAGGTACGTGAATCAGGATAATAAAGACACATATTCACAATCAAATTGAAAATCGATAGAAATTGCAAGTCCTAGTACAATTTTGGTGCAACTTTTTTCATCTGTGGGTCATTTTACACATTAAAAAGAAGTATGTGAGAAGTAAGCAGTGAACAGTGAGCTAAGCAAAAAGGTATTTCAATTTATATAGTGCTGTAATGCTCAGCTGTTTTGGGCATCTAGCAGGGCATTCCTAAATATAGTGTAAAAATGCTCTGCTGCAATACTCAGCTGTCTTGGCAATCTAGCACAGCATTCCTAGCTTTAGTGAAAAAATGCTCTGCTGGAACGCTCAGCTGGCTAGGCAATCTAGCAGTGCATTACTGAATATAGTGTTAAAATGCTCTGCTGGAATGCTCAGCTGGCTAGCTAAGCTGGCTAGGCAATCTAGCTTGGCATTACTAAATATAGTGAGAAAATGCTCTGCTGGAATGCTAAGCTGGCTAGGCAATCTAGCAGGGCATTACTAAATATAGTGTAAAAATGCTCTGCTGGAATGCTAAGCTGGATAGGCAATCTAGCAGGACATTACTAAATATAGTGTACAAATGCTATTCTGGAATGCTAAGCTGGCTAGGCAATCTAGCAGGGCATTACTAAATATAGTGTAAAAATGCTCTGCTGGAATGCTAAGCTGGCTAGGCAATCTAGCAGGGCATTCCTAAATATAGTGTAAAAATTCTCTGCTGGAATGCTAAGCTGGCTAGGCAATCTAGCAGAGCATTACGAAATATAGTGTAAAAATGCTCTGCTGGAATGCTCAGCTGGCTAGGCACTATAGCAGAGCATTCCTTAATATAGTGAAAAAATGCTCTGCTGGAATGCTCAGCTGGCTAGGCAATCTAGCAGGGCATTACTAAATATGGTGTAAAAATGCTCTGGTGGAACGCTAAGATGGCTAGGCAATCTAGCAAGGCATTACTAAATATAGTGTAAAAATGCTCTGCTTGAATGCTAAGCTGGCTAGGCAATCTAGCAGGGCATTACTAAATATAGTGTAAAAATGCTCTGCTGGAATGCTAAGCTGGCTAGGCAATCTAGCAGGGCATTCCTAAATATAGTGTAAAAATGCTCTGGTGGAATGCTAAGCTGCTAGGCAATCTAGCAGAGCATTACGAAATATAGCGTAAAAATGCTCTGCAGGAATGCTCAGCTGGCTAGGCACTATAGCAGAGCATTCCTTAATATAGTGAAAAATGCTCTGGTGGAATGCTCAGCTGGCTAGGCAATCTAGCAGAGCATTACTAGATATAGTGTAAAAATGCTCTGCTGGAATGCTCAGCTGGCTAGGCACTATAGCAGAGCATTCCTTAATAAAGTGAAAAAATGCTCTGGTGGCATGCTCAGCTGGCTAGGCAGTCTAGCAGGGCATTACTAAATATGGTGTAAAAATGCTCTGGTGGAATGCTCAGATGGCTAGGCAATCTAGCAGGGCATTCCGAAATATAGTTTAAAAATGCTCTGGTGGAATGCTCAGTTGGCAGACTGATTCTGAGTTCCAGGATTTATTGTTGCCAAAGTTTTATTGACATTTTCGACTTCTAGGCAATTCTGAGGCACTCGCAGACTTTCAGGAATTTTCGGTGCCAATAGAAATAATGATATTTTTGACTTCTAAGGACCTTTAAGAGACTATCTCATTGTCCTGCGTCTTTTTGAAGGACACTCGCAGACTTTCAGGAATTTTGGTGCCAATGCTGATATTGACAATTAGACAAAGACTTCTAGGGACCCTCAAGAGTCCATTTTGGTCGTCTGCGACTGATTCTTGGACACTCGCAGACTTTCAGGAATGGTTGGTGCCAATGGAAATAATCATATTTTTGACTTCTAGGGACCTTAAAGAGTCCATTTCATTGGCCTGCAGCGTATTGTTGGACACTCGCAGACTTTCAGGAAAGTTTGGTGCCAATAGAGATGATGGCAATTTTTACTTCTTGGGACCCGCCAAAGTCCATTTTTTATTGTCTGCGACTGATTCTGGACATTTTCGCAGACTTTCAGGAATCTCTGGTGCCAATGGGAGATAATGACATTTTTGACTTCTAGCGACCTACCAGAGTTCATTTCGCTGGTCTGCGACTGATTTTGGGACACTTGCAGACTTTCAGGAATTTTGATGCCAATGGAGATAATGACATTTCTGACTTTTAGGGAACCGCCAGAGTACATTTCTTGGGTCTGCGACTGATTCCTTGAGACTCGCAGACTTTCAGGATGTTTAGTGCCATTGCAGATCATGACTTTTTTACTTTTAAGGACCCCTTAGTCATAAGCAGAGCATTTTTACCCTTAAATGTCATTATCTGCATTAGCACCAACAATTCCTGAAAGTCTGCAAGTGCCCAATAATCAGTCGCAGACCAACGAAATAGACTCTGGATGGACAAAAATGTCATAAATTGTAATTATCTCTATTGGCACCAACAATTCCTGAAAGTCTGTGACTGTCCAAGATTAAGTCGCAGACCAAAAAAAAATGGACCCTGGATGGTCCCTAGAAGTAAAAAATGTCATTATCTCCATTGGCACCGAAAATTTCTGAAAGTCTGCGAGTGTTCCAAAAACATTCGCAGACCAACGAAATGGACTCTGGATGGTCCTAAAAATTCACAAATGTCATTATCTGCATTAACACCAAAAATTCCTGAAAGTCTGCGATCGCCCCGGAATCAGTCGGAGACCAAAGAAATAGACACTTTAGGGTCCGGTAGAAGTCAAAAATGTCACTAAATATTTCAGAAAGTCTACGAGTGCCAAATAATCAGTTGCAGACCAACGAAATTTATACTTTATTTAAGAATGCCCTGCTAGTTTGCCTAGACAGCTCAGCATTCCGGCAGAACATTTTTACACTAATTTTCAGAATGCTTTGCTGGATTGCCTAGCCAGCTGAGCATTTTTATCACTATATTTAGGAATGCCCTGCTAGATTGCTTAGCTAGCTGAGCATACCAGCAGAGCATTTTTCGCACTATATTTTGGAACGCTCTGCTAGATTGCTTAGCCAGCTGAGCTTGCCAGCAGAGCATTTTTACACTATATTTAGGAATGCTCTGCTGGATTGCCTAGCCCGCTGAGCATTTTAACACTATATTTAGGAATGCCCTTCTAGATTGCCTAGCCAGCTGAGCAATTCAGCAGAGCATTTTTACACTATATTTTGGAATGTCCCGCTAGATTGCTTAGCCAGCTGAGCATGACAGCTAAGCATTTTTACACTATATTTAGGAATGCCCTCCTAGATTGCCTAGCCAGTTGAGCATACCAGCAGATAATGTTTACACTATATTTTGGAATGCCCCGCTAGATTGCTTAGCCAGCTGAGCATAACAGCAGAGCATTTTTACACTATATTTTGGAATGCCCCGCTAGATTGCTTAGCCAGCTGAGCATAACAGCAGAGCTTTTTACACTATATTTAGTAATGGCCCTGCTAGATTGCTTAGCCAGCTGAGTATAACAGCAGAGTATTTTTTACACTATATTTAGGAATGCCCTGCTAGATTGCCTAGCCAGCTGAGCATACCAGCAGAGCATTTTTACGCTATATTTTGGAACGCCCCGCTAGATTGCCTAGCCAGCTGAGCATACCAGCAGAGCATTTTTACACTATATTTAGTAATGGCCTGCTAGATTGCTTACCCAGCTGAGCATACCAGCAAAGCATTCTACACTTTATTTTGGAATGCTCTGCTAGATTGCTTACCCAGCTGAGCATAACAGCAGATCATTGATTTCCCTATATAAATCGTAATGCCTTTTTGCTTAGCTCACTGTTAACTGCTAACTTCTCACATACTAAAAAGAAACGGGTTGCTGAACTAAGCACCTAAGTTATTAGTTCAGGCCTACATCAAAAGGTACACAAATCTCGGCAAAATATTTCCAGTCCCGTCAATTAAACGAAACCACCTCTGTGGAGTCTGTTAAATATGCTGGTAATTCCTCATTCGGCACTCGTTTGACCACCTGTAGAATGGATTACAAATATAAAGCACGCATGGATTGGACACGTAGTTTTCCTTTATCAATTTTGCCGGAGAGATATTTTATACTACTGACTAAGTTAGTAAATGTCGCTTATATTATGTACAATTTAAATGTATATGTTCTTCATGAAAAATTGTTTCAAATATTGTAGAACTTACAGACTCTAAAAGCTGAAGATCGCCATGACTACGTGTAAAGAGGTGAAGGACTATTTAGTGAGTCAAAACGTACACGTTGAAAAATTAGACGAGGAGCAGGTGACACCGGGATCGCAACAGAACATATGGATGACCTTGATGACCACGCCCGAGGATCCTTACAATGAGGTTTACCCCTCATTATTCCTTGGCGACTAGTAAGATTGCTTATGATTATTAGTCAATGTCATTTCAAAACTTAGACAATACTTTAAAAGACTTAATATCTAAATGCTTATGACTAGTTTTACATCGATTGAAATAACAAGAATAATCTTCTTTGAAAGGATTGTTATGAAAGCGAGGAACTATTTTTCCATGTCAGAAATGTCTATCTAGTATTATTTCGTCTTCAGCACAATAGCAAAGAAACCGGAGAAATTGAAAGCCATTGGGGTCACACATGTCGTAAATTGTGCATGTGGATCTACTTTTAATATGGTCAACACAGATCAAGAATTCTTTGAGGAATCCGGAATATTGTTCCACGGTATTCCCGCTGTCGATGTATGGAAATTCAAGATGGCGCCTTATTTTTTGGCAGCTGCAAACTTTATAAAACAAGCGTTAGATTCTGGTGGTTTGTACTTATATTTCTAACTCGGTCTCTTGAAATGTGACGTTCTGACGTAATATTTATAATCTTTATTTTTCATTGTAATAAAATTTCTAGCTTGCCTTCGTATTATTGGATTTTTTTTCTGCGAATGATAAAAACTTGTAATTAGAATAAAAAAAGAGTAAAACGATTTATATAAAATACTTTGTCGAGGAAGAATAGCATACCGAGGCTCTGTAATGATATGAAGTATTTTAATCATATAGCTATTGTCTTTTTATTTAATTAATTGAGTTCACATACATGTATATGCATGCACGTTCATGCTTTCTCTTCTTATTTCAGGGAAAGTGTATGTTCATTGTATGTCTGGTGTTAGTAGATCTTCAGCTATAATTCTTGCATTTCTTATAATGATGCGGGATATGCCGCTCATGGATGCCGTGAAAACCGTGCGGGATAAAAGAAGGATATTGCCAAATGATGGATTTTTAAAAGAACTTGTAGAACTTAATAATACTCTGTATTCGACGTAAATTAATGACACGTGACCAATGGTGGGTGACTCAGATAACGCTTCTTCGTCTCAATTTAGAATTCGTCATATTATTAGAAATGTTAAAATTAAGAAAGATATGCGACAATCAGTCAAAAAATGATTTGATCAATTGATCATATGGCTAGGTCTGCAATTCAAATCAATTTTCAGTGTTCCTACAACGGATTGACAAGTAGCACTATTGTTTCAATTTACTCAACCATTTTCGTATATATGCAGTTTTCATTTATGTTATGTAATTGAATCCTTTTGCATATATGTATTAATCTTGGAATCCATTTATTAAATACTATGTTGTTGATATCATGGATGTCTTTATCAGGTGCAATCGTGTTATAATTGGGGAAGTTATTTCACATGAAGCTGCCATTACTCATCATTAATTTTAAGTTTCCAAATTTTGTTATAATGATCAGGGTCTTTCAAATAGAAACCCCTGTTATGATAAAGTAACCTGCCTACATAAAATATTTGCAAATACAACGTATTGGTATCATTATAATATAATTACTTATAGCTTTAAGCATATGTTACATATCGAATTAAAGTATATATATATACATACAATAAAAAAATTGATCCGATGAAGTCTTAGCATTTTAAAACTGTAACAAACAATATCATTTCATTTTGAAATTATAAAGTCAACAATAAAAGCCTAATAAATCTGAAGACCGTGCACATGTTACGTCAATTTGACAACACTTACGTGTATAAAACAAGGTAGTCCCAGTTGACTCTCAATAAGCCAAAATCGCTTTACTCGAAATCCCGCGTTAGTCGAAGAATTTCTAAAGTCTCGTCAAATTTCCTTCTTTAGCTTTGTATTTTAACTCCGCTTAGGTCAAATTTGGACTTACCGAGACTCCTGTTTAGTCGAAAGAAAATTTGGTCCCGTCAATTAAATAATATATATGGTAACGCTGGTGTCAAAGATGGAATTTGTAAAAATAAAACAATTTACTTAACGAGCTAGCCACAGTCGCGTTGATCTATGTCATTAATTTTATTACAATAAATTGGATCACATTTTTAAAAACATTGAGGTAGTAATGAAGGGAACCAAAAACCAACTTTTAAAAGAGATTCAAAGAATGGTGACTGGGATATTAAATTGGTACATCAGGTCAGAGATGTTTGTATACTAGTAGTTCTGAACAGGAGATTAAATTTTGATAAACATCAGAAAAACGGAATTACGTATTCCAAGTGATAAATCTAGAAAATATTTACAAATTTAACTAGAATCATCTGCAATCAATGCCTTCATTCATCTAAATTTTTCTAAATTTGTAATGTCGTGTTTACAGAAATTTCAGCCTAGTATTTTAATTGCCTGTAGAAAGCAATTGTTGCTAAAAATATATTGTAACAGGACGGACAAACGGATATTCAGTGATCATAACGTTCTAGTTATTTACTTATGCATGCATGTTCATTTAGGATAGAATTGAAAATTCAAATAGGGAAAACATAGCCATTTAAGAGTTCCATACTTTAATTGTAAAATACGAGGATGGATCAATATGTCATGCAATATGGTCAATAAATTCAGCAAAAGAGCAAATGAGCCGCGCCACGACAAAACCAACATAGTGCGTTTGCGACAAGCATGGATCCAGACCAGTCTGCGCATCCGCGCAGTCTGATCAGGATCCATGCTGTTCGCTTGCAAACCCAATCACAAGTAGAGAAACTGATAGCGAACAGCATGGATCCTGATCAGACTGCGCAGATGCGCAGGCTGGTCTGGATCCATGCTGGTCGCAAACCCATTATGTTGGTTTTGTCGTGACGCGGCTCAAATATGTTTTTTCTATTTAAACCCTTCGAAATAATCCCCTACAGAAATATAAAGTTTCAGATGCTTCGATCAACATAGTCCTCCTAAGGTATACCTTTCAATAACTGAAAAATGGCCGACCCAAGTTTATTTCTACTCTAGTAGATGTTTTTTTTTCAGTTTAGGAAAGAGAAAAAAGTCACAGGTTGCGAAGTTCGGGGAATACGTGGATGTCTAATTTAGGACAGTCCCTTGTTTTTCTTGAAAGAAAAAAAGAGGAAAAAGAGTCAACAACAGTTGTTCCTTTGTGTGCAGGAGCATTGTCATGCAGAATATATAGGCCTTTTATGTCAGTCGTGTCCTATCTTTCTGTTAAAGACTTTTTAGCAATTAATTTTATTGAACTCGTTTGATAAAATTTATTTTATATGCCAAATGATATAAATGGCATGAGTGATCCTGTATAGACAGCACAAAACAGGATAAATTACGTATTTAAAGCTTAGAATATATATTATACCTTTTGCGCTCAATAAATAGATATACAATGTCAGCCCCTTAAATATTACTGTTTTTTTCAAAAAAAAAAGTTATTTATTTGGATTTAATAGCTGTATAAAGTAGCAATTAACGCGCTGTAAGTAATAGAAAGAGCACCGAAACACGAGGCTATCTGATTTACAAGTACGAGGGGGCGTAGCCCCCGGGTATAAATCAGATTGCCGAGTGTTTTGGTGTTCTTTCTCTTTTGTATCATAGTCAAACATAAAAACACGTTCCCTGTTGTCACAATTTTAAACCCCGGGAAAAGGTAACCAATGATCGAGCATCTGAATATGATATTTCTGCCGCTTTCCCTTTCTCTGCCGTCACAATATGTAAACCCCAGCAAAAATGAGCCAATCAACGGGCATGATCTGGAGTGCGGGTAACTGATATTTTAGTAAATATACGTCACTGTGAAAACAACAACATAATCATGTACAATGTTTCATTTATAAACATATTCATACGTCACACTTATGTGTGACGTCATATGAATAGTTGTTGATCACGTGACTACTACCTGCACTCCAGTTACCGCACTGTGCATGTATATGTATACGATTTAACTCTGACACTTTTTCAACAGAAAGGTCCCCAAACTATGATACAATACATGTATAGTACAATACCAGTAAAGCTGCGGTCTCACTTACTCCCGGCAGAGCCCAGGACCACTCCCGGTAAGTTACTGAGATGATCCGGGCCGATCTGGGGTGAAATTATTGTTGCGCAGCAGCACTACGGTAATTCCCAAGTTCCCAACTAACCACCCTGGATGCGTTCTGGACAATCCATGCAGAGCCCAGGTGAAGCTACGGTTCATGCCGGTGCTTCCCCGATCGTTCCCAGATGACGCCGGAAGAGCCCCGGTTGACCCAGGCAGAGCCCCGGTCGATCCAGGTAGAGCCCCGGCAGAGCCCAGGACGATCCAGGCAGAGACCCAGTAGAACCCCAGTGGATTGAAAACGCGCGAAAATGATTACATTGATACATAATTTTTATTTGATATCATATCTATTGTTCCAGAACAGTTATTAATGATAGTTTTCTGAAAGATACTTATGCAAGACTGGATAAAAGGGAAATGGGAAGGGTTTTAATACAAACAAGTGAAATCATCGCAAACTTTCGTGATTCTTTTGAAATGAACCGGTCTTTGCCGGGGCTCTACAGGGATCAACCGTTGCTCCAGACAATTCTCGGAATCTGGTGACATTTTATTTCAATGACTGCAGTAGCACAGTCAGACATATTGAAGAAGTTAATGTTCAAGTCCTTAAAAGGAAAACGCGAATTGTACTGCATAACACGCCATAATAAAAACTGATAACACGCCATAATAAAAACCGTTGAAGATTATATTTATTATTTATAGGTCACCTTATTTATATTTTATAATTGTACACTTTATTTGAGCAGACTTCACAGGACAAGTACCGTATGTTTGTCTGTTGGGAGAGAGGGTAGTTTTCTAGTCGTTTGGTATAGTGGTGTTCAACCTATCAAAAATAAATTCAATCTAATAACAGCTGCTCCCCAGGTTACCTGTAACCGGAAACGAAAGTACGTATCTACCTGAGTGAATGTCAATATTTTGAAATTTCGTTTTTATGTAAAAGTTTGGAAGTACTAGTGTTTGGAGATAAACTTTTATATTATTATATGAATATCCCTACCTGGGAACGGATCTGTATTATGCTGGTAAGTTTTGAAAAACTTTTTAAACTTTAATAGTTTAATCGATTTCGGTTAGACTTAAATTCGGATACCTTTTTAATTTACAAGAAATCTTGCCGTCATGCTTTACTAATGATGATTTTTTGTTACTTAAACACTTATCTTTGTGGTAACTTACATTGGAAAACAGATAAAAGTATCAAGTTTTAATTAAACAGGTTCCTAACTCGATTTTTACAACAAGTGTTTTGGTGAATTCAAGTTTTGAATTAAGTACATTTTTATAATTTTATAATTATAAAAGTTTTATAGTAGTAATAGTTTTATAATTATTAATAGTAACCTGTTTAAGAAATAATATATCCCAAACAGTTATTTTATCACTCAGTAAAATCACTGTTTTGAGTTCTGATGCGCATCATTATATCATGGGGCGTAGCCTGATTGATATAATGATGCGCATTCGATCGACAGTGATTTTATTCAGCCATTAATTCACAGATTGGATATATTATTTCAATTCTAACGCAACATCAACAAATAAATGCTGCTGTACCTGTTATTAAGCAAAATTATGCCTGATTTGTTTCCGTACTTATTTTCAGCGCTTTGCATTTTTAATGGTTACGTCACATATTTAGGTAATAGGACATTTCGGACCATGGACATTTCGGACCAGATTTTGGGACACTTCGGACCATATTTCGGGACATTTCGGACCAGATTTTTGGACATTTCGGACCATGTATTGGACATTTCGGACCATGAGTTAGACACTTCGAACCATTGTTTTGGACATTTGGGATCATGTATTATATACTTCGGACCATTGTTTTGGACATTTCGGCCCAGATTTAATATTATTTTATGAAATTAGCCATCAATTAATCAATAAGAGTAGCTTTAGTATATATTAGACACCATGGAAACAATTCTACACCTATCCCGATTTAGATTTTATATATTTTGTAATATAAATGAAGAAAATTAAGGAAAAAAAACAACAACAAAAACAATACAAACAATGTTTTGGTGACACACGTTTGCAAACAATTTAAAGTATATACAAAAAGACATGACAATATATACTTTTTTTCAGTTTGTAAGCTATATAAGTTATGAAAATGAAATAGATTTTAACACTGTGTTATATTGCAGCCTGGACATCAAATTTTTGACAAATAATTAATCCATTTGTTTGTTGTTTATTGTTGATTTAAACTGTACTTTAATCGCATTCCAATCAAACCAATCAATTTAAATATTTGTTGTCAAATTAGGTAAAAATTACAATACATACTTCATTAATTGAGTGAAAGGTGATACAAACGAGTTCTATTCAGCAATTTAAACGTGTGAAAAACTGCACTGACAAGGATGTCGTTGTTCTTTATTACCTGCCAGAACACAATTTAACTTGGTAAAAATTTACTCTAAATGTATATAAATCAATTTCAAAACACCCTGGAATAACAAATAATCATATATTAAAAAGGAATAAATGGTCTATTGAAAAAAAAGTTCTGGTCCGAAGTGTCCCCATCATAGTCCGAAATGACCATATCATGGTCCGAAATGACCATCTCATGGTCCGATATGTCCCAAAATCTGGTCCGAAATGACCAAAAAATTTGGTCCGAAGTGTCTGGTCCGAAACGTCCGTGGTCCGAAATCTTTAATGATTATGTCACATGTCTAAGTATAGAAAGTAGACAGTGATTTTATTGCATAATAAAACACACTTTCGGTTCTGCTATGTTCAATAGCAGCGATTTTTTTCCCTATATAAGTGGTACCGAATAACGGACCCATTCACAATCACAAACGGACCTTCACAATCTTCAGACTGGGTCCGACAGAGCCGTTCACAATTCTGATGAAATTTCACAATTCTGATTAATTAAGCCTTTAATTACCTATTATTTCCTCTCTTCTCATAATGATGCTAAAATTTTGCCTGTTGTGCTTTATCTTAAAATGCGTTTAGCCAACCATGATTTCCGGTGCATTCGCCCTTTAAATTTTCATACTGTTTAAATACGAAACTTCTAGGGAAGAATCAATACTGAAACAAGCGTCTGGTAATTTCTGTACACATCATTCAAAATGTCTCGTAACAGTAAATACTATGTTAAAAAAATTATATGTTCTTACTGCTTAATAAGATATTAACAATCTTAATTAAAATATTCACAATTTGTTAAGAAACAACGCTTTTTTTCACAATTGCTATGGTATCGGACCCATTCACAATTCAGGGAAAAAATTCGCTGAATAGGGAAAAATGCGGGTCGTGTTAGAATATAAAAGACTGTAACTATCTGGTATACTTAAATCATAGAAGTTTTTACTTCAAATTCCAAGTGTAATTTTCTGTGAAACTTGCAGTAGGGATAATTCAATGTCCCCCATTTTTAGGGAAGGCATATAGTTTTGCAGTGTCCATCTGCACTTGGGTGACATTGGACAATTGTATAAAAATTTACTTGTGGGCAAAAAATTTCATATGGGGTGAAAAGTTGATATCAGAGAAACAACCCTTTAACTCAGGAAGAATGTTCCATTGTTAGTTTTTTCATCAGTCCCCACTTTGTGTGCTGTCCATAACTTTATCATAAATATGGATGATTTTTTAAATAATTTTGCATAAATGTAAAACATTATTTAGAAGAGGTGTCAGATGCAAGACATATGTATGTAGTTTATAGTTCGAGGTCACACTTGTAATTCAAGGGAAAATAATAAGTGTGCACTGATGATTGTGTTTGGTGACTAGACACCTGTCATTTTTGTCGTTCCTGGATGGATTTTAAAATATGCATTATACTCGGAAAATTTGCTTTCCTGTCAGTAATGAGTTAAAGTAAGCTTATGTTAAGACCTCACTTTGGATTGCTTTTGCCCCCCCCCCCCCCCAAAAAAAAAAAAAAGAAAAGAAAAAAGTCAAGGACACTGTTTCTGAACTGGTCAACAACTCAAGTTTGGGGTGAGATGATTCAATGAAACTTTGTGTGTAGCATGCTTATATAAAGACCTTGTTTGGTAATGCTTAAGAGCCACATACATGAAGGGTCAAGGTCACTGTTGAGATAAATAGAAAATTTGGTTATTTCTGGTCAATAACTAGGGTTTGGAATGAAATATTTTATTGAAATTGGTGTGTATGTGGAGACCTTGCTTGTAATTGCTTTTTTGCCATATTTTTATTCACCCAAAATACCTTTAAATCTTGAAAATCATGTACAAGTTCCTAGTTACCTAATGATTATTATATAAATTAACTGTCAAGAAATCAACAATCTAATTTCTAAATGACTTAATAAAGATTCCCCCCCCCCCCCCCACCACAACAACATTGTATTTCACTATAAAATGTGCAAGAAACACTCAGATATTTTATATTGATAAACAAATGCTACACAATTTGAAGTTATTCTGGTAAAATGATTAAATGACTCTCATAAGAAAATTGCCCTAGAAGTCAAAACCTGGAATTAAATATTCCAGGGATCTTAACACTTAACCGGTACTGTTACTCTTATTGGACCCTTGACAGGTATGTAGTTGTCTGTACAGTGAGTAATCTGTACCACATGGTGTACAGTGTACACTGACCCAACATTTATAGTAAACTATTTGACAGTAATACTGTTACATCATTTAAAACAATGTACAATAATTTGCTTCTCGTTGTGGCTTAGGGGTTGCCTTTTAGGTTTGAGGCATCAGAATTGCAGCCACCATTTATTCCTGCTTGATTGTTACTAAGAGGCGACTTAATGTGTTTCAATGACTGGAGTCTATGCATTTCTTAGCCTCAGGCTCTCAGCAGGTGAGGTGGTTTTGACCTTTTGTGTTGCTTTAAGTTTGTAACACCCGAGGATAGACAATATACGAATACGAATACGAATACAAACTTTATTAAGCATAAAACATAGTACAATGTTTATAGCCATAGAAATACAAATAAACATATACATACAATGAGAAACAGAACAATTTTCCAGAGAGTATAAATATTTGCCAGAAAAATAAACAATTCTAGATTTTCATACATCCTAAGTTGCTAAATGTCGTCCATATTGTTATATGGTTATGTGTGATCAAGAAATACGTTTCTGATTTGCAAAATACAAAAATTTAGACAATGCCAACAATGTTTTCTTTGATCTAGATGATAAAAGATTATCAAATTTATACATGTTTGGCCAATGACAATATATAGGTTTAAAAAATTTTATTCTAAGCTCTCTATAGTGTGGACACACAAGCAGAAAGTGGTATTCATTTTCAATTTTTCTCATGTTACATGATTTACATATTCGATCTTCACGTAGGGTATTATCATATCTTCCTGTTTCAATAAAAAGATTGTGTGAAGAGGTTCTAAACCTAGTAAGTGCTACTCTATATTTATTTTCATGTATGGAGTCTAAATATAATTCCCTAACAAAATTGTGTTTAAATAGACAATAAGTTTGTAATCTTGAAGAATTATTAATTTCGGTATACCATTTCTGCATAAATGTGTCCAATAATCTTTGTTTTATAGAGTTAATCGGAATTTCAATATCAAATTGGTTATCCCAGACATACCTAAATCCGTTACTTGATAGAATATCTTTAACATAAGAGGCCCAATTTTTTCCACCATAATTACGACCGGAGTCCGTGTCGGATTTGAGGAGAAGGTATGATTGTTTTACAATTGAGGAGTCATTCTGTTTAAGTATCTTTATCCATTATCGGAGTATATTAACTTTACGAAAGATTTGTATCGGAACTCGACCTAATTCTCCATAAAGAGCTGCAAGATTCGTTGACTTTTTTACACCCAGGATTCTACGCAAAAATTTTGTATGAATTAGCTCGATATCTGGTGCATCGTGTAAACCCCAAACTTCTGAACTAAAATTTAAAATTGAACCTACTAAAGAATCGAATAGTTTACATTTCTGATAAACTGGTAGCTGTATGTGTCTAAAAACTGTAAAAAGGTTAAAAAGTGCATATGACGCATGTTG